TTATTTTAATATTTTTATAATAAATTTTAAATATTTATTCGAAAAACACTAGTTTGTAAATTTATTTTTATTTTTATCCAATAATAAATCAACATCATTTCATTCATATAAGTCAGTACAGGGGAGTATATCAACATCGATTGCAATACAAAAATATTCTCAAAAATAATAAATAATACAGATGCAACTACATTTACGAAAATCGTATACATCTATCATGTAGTTCAACATTCACAGAGCTATATCATCACAATGTGGGTCGAATCTTTTTCTCATGATATTTAACGACTCCAATATAAGTGTGAACCTTACTTGTGGCAGAACAAAAATAATGAGCACAAATGTTTTAGTACCTGAATCCTAGAGGTCAATTCTAGACGATTTGAAAGATGGGCATCCATATGCAATTCTAACAGATTCATCTAATAAGGGAAATATTAAAACATTTCCATCGATCCTTCGCTATTTTAACAAGAATAAGAACATTTCAATAAAACTGTTAAATTTTTTTCCCCGGATAGTGAAAAATCCAACGATGTAGCTAACCACATAATGGTAAATATAGCTGATTCAGGGTTATCAAGGATTTGCATGTCAGCTTTCTGCGCTGATAATGCCTCTGTAAATTTTAGCCAAAACCAAAATTTCCGAATTGAAGCAGCACAATAATGAATTAATACCAATTGGCTGTATATGCCATATACTACATAATTCTTGCAAGAAGGCAATGAATGTACTATCTGTGGATGTTGAAAATTGTGATGAAATGTTTTAACGAATTTAGTTCATCAATTAAAAGAGTTGGTGAAGTGGTCTGACTTGGAATGGTGTGAGTTGTTGCGATATGAACCTATCAGGTGGTTATCATTAATACCTGCCAATGTAGAATTAAAATTTTACGAACCCTTAAAAAAATATTTCTTAAATAAAAATTTTAAAAGCTGTCCTAAAATTTTGAAAAATTTTTTTGAAGATGAAATGGCAGAAAGTTATTTGGGATAAGTTTCACATGTAGGAAATCTATTTCATGCAGTTAGTATTCAGTTGCAATCAGAATATTCTTTATTAAAAAAGATTCACAAAATCATGCTACAGCTCTGTTCATCTCTACAGTTAAAAATTGATAATAAATTTTATGGCGCTATTGCTAAAAATTTTATATTAAAATGTTCAAATAATACTCTAATTAATACATTTTTAAAAGAAGCAGATATTTTTATTAAAACAATTTTAGACTATTTACAATCAAAATTAATTTTAATAACTATTTACAAATGTATAAATATTATGACCTTGGAACAGAAACCATCAATTGATGAAATATATTAAAAATACCGAAAGACATTGCTTGTTTGAGGAGATTGTAATTCTCTCTATTTTTTATGATTCGCCAAAATACTTAAAGTTTGATGGTCTAAAAGCAGAGGAGAATTTTTTCGTAATAACGATAAATCCTCATGCTTGGAAAAAATATGCGAGTATGCCTTCTCCTTACCTCATTCTAGTGCCTCATCCGAGCTCATTTTTACCCTGATGAGGACTGCCTGGGAAAAGGAGAGAAATCGGATTGATTTAACAACATTAGAGGCCGAGCTAATGGTTAAACAAATATATAATATGTCATACCAGAAATTTTATGTAAACATTTAGTTCTATTATTTAAATCTTAAATAAAATATAATTAAGTTTTAGCAATGACACCATAAAATATATCAATTTTTAACTGTAAAGATGAACACATCTGCAGAATAATTTTGGGAATCTTTGTTAAGATTCTTCTGATTGCAACTACACATTAACAGCGTGTAGCAGATTTCTTACATGTTGAAATCATTCCTAAATTTACTTCTGCCATTCTTATTGAAAAAAATTTTCAGATAGCTTTTATAATCTTTATTTAAGAAATATTTTTTTTAAAGGTTTATAAAATTTTAAAATTCTATCGATGGCAGGTATTAGGAACGTATCGCAACCAAAATTGTGCTGACTCAATTCTGTAAATACATTCTGTTTTTACCAAATTCATTGAGGCATTATCAGATCAGAAAGCTGACATGCAATTTATTGATAATCTCGAATCTCCTATATTTACCATTATGGTTAGCTATGTCTTTGGATTTTTCACTATTTGAAAATATTTAGTTTTTTGAAATGTTCTTATTCTTGTTGATATAGCGAAGGATCGAGGGAAATGTTTTAATATTTCCCTTAATAGTTGTATCTGTTAGAATTGCATATGGATGCCCATCTTTCAAATCATCTAGAATTGACCTCCTGGATTTAGATCCTAAAACATTGATGATAGCCTTGCTCATTTTTGTTCTACAAGTATAGTTTTCTTTATATTAGAGTCGTTAAATATTATGAGAAAAAGATTCTAACAACTTTGTGATGATATATCTTTGTGATGATATATCTTTGTGATGATATATCTTTGTGATGATATATCTTTGTGATGATATATCTTTGTGATGATATATCTTTGTGATGATATATCTTTGTGATGATATATCTTTGTGATGATATATCTTTGTGAATGTTGTATTACAAGATAAGTGATTACAATTTCCGCAACTGTAGTTGCATCTATATTTTTCTTATTTTTGGAGTATCTTATTATGTATTTAAACGTGATAAGTGATAATTAAGCGCCTATCCCTACAATGTTATATACACACACGGTAGATTTCTAATTGTGGTGCAAGACATTTGCATAAGATATATTTTTAATTGTAGAATTAAAATCGTTTTTTAATAAAATTTTATCTCGCTTACATTCTTTTATATATAAAAAAGATCGTTGGTTTTTTTTATAAATTATTATATTTTAATAAATCAAGATGTTATTTTATTTTGAAAAATAGTTACCGACTTTGTATTTATATAAACTAATTATTAAAAATAATAGGCGGATAATTAAGTCAATTCAAAATCCCGGCCGGCACACAAATTTTTTTTTTTAGCAATTTTTATAATTATACCGCAATTTTCATATTTCTTCCGCATAATACCAAATTTCTCCCGCAATATGAAAATTTTGACCTGGCAACCCTGTGTGGAACTAGTGTGCATTTTTTTATACGTTAGTAGAATAATAATTTTTTTAACTTAGCATAAAGATTATATCAATTTTATTCAAGATATTTTTAAAGAAAAATTAGAAGGGAAACAACGCTTCCCTTGCTTCACTTGGTCACTGAATTCAAACATAATGTCAAGAGGATTTGCTAAGTGCGCATCAGGGGCGTCGCTAGCATTTATAATCTCAGGGGTATAGACAGAGCCGGGGGGGGGCAAGTGAAAATCCCCCCTTCAGAATATATCACCTTTTGTGAATATCATTTTAAGCTAATAAAAATATCTCCCTTAGTCCTCCCCTTACTCCCTGACTCCCAAAAATGTATGCATATATCTTAAACAATAATTTGAAAGAAAGAATGTAAAAGTTGATATTTTTTTAAACTAAAACTATTCATCATAGTTTTGACTAAACTGAGAATTGACATCATAACTCAATATATAATGACGGAAACTTAAATTTTTTTCATTTTATGTTTATATGAGTAAGTTTACACAAAATGAGCCAAAAAAATAAAATATTTTTAAAATCCCAAAAATTTTAAAATTTTTGACTAAACTGAGAATTGGCATCATAACTCATAATATAATGACGGAAACTTAAAATTTTTTTCATTTTATGTTTATATGAGTAAGTTTACACCTAATGAGTCAAAAAATAAAATATTTTTAAAATCCCAAAAATCTAAAAAATTTTGACTAAACTGAGAATTGACATCATAACTCAAAAAATAATGATGGAAACTTAAATTTTTTTTTATTTTATGTATATATGAGTAAGTTTACACAAAATGAGTCAAAAAAAATATTTTTAAAATCCTAAAAATCTAAAACGTTTTAACTAAACTGAGAATTGACATCATAACTCAAAAAATAATGATGGAAACTCAAAATTTTTTATATTTTATGTTTATATAAGTAAGTTTACACAAAATGAGTCAAAAAAATAAAATATTTTTAAAATCCCAAAAATATAAAAAATTTGACTAAATTGAGAATTGACATCATAACTCAAAAAATAATGACGGAAACTTAAATTTTTTTTCATTTTATGATTACATAGCTTGTACCAAATAAATTAATCCATAAGTAAAGAATTATGCTCCTATTTATAAAAAAACATTCCCTTACCTCTCCACCTCCTTATCTTACTTACTTTCAAACTTTCCGGAAAAGAATATTTGATTTGCACTACTTTATTTTCTGAATATTACCAGATGATTTTACCGAATACAAAACAAAAGAAAATCCAAGACAATGATAATTAATAATTGCTCCACGAGCAATATATGTATAAACATTTCATATATAATATTATAAATATATGTATGAATACAAATAACGTTGAAAATAACTGACACTCATATAAATATATATATATATATGTATGACCACATATAATGTAGAAGTTAACTGACATCTCGTATCTAAAATTATATATATGCATAATTGTAAAAGTACAAAACACAACACTATTATTCATACTTTTTTTAATTAAAATTTTTTTAATATATTACGCCATCTAATGGAAATATATTTATGATTTTTAAAATTTATTATGGATGTTATATTTTCTATGTTACATATCTGTTCTATACATATTTTAAATTTCTGGACTTCGATATCTTCTATATTCTATTGATTTACATAATAAAAACATTTTATTTATATTTTTAAAATAAAATTGATAGGCTATAAAATAAAAATAAATTTTACATATCTATTCTCAGTTCACCTGTCCATTTTCAGTTTACCTGTCAGTTTTCAATTTAGTTACGCTGCATATTTGTTTTTGAAATGAAACTTCAGCTCTTTTCAACTTTAATAAAACCGAAAGTTATTTGCATTCTTAACACCCTATTTAATGGTTTTAATAGGGTTTTGAAATAGGTATTAAAAATTTGAAAAATACCATCGAACGAGATAAATTTTTATGCATGAATAGTGAAGAGAATATCAAAATTATTTCATCTTACTTAAATATTGTTGATAACATTCCTTTAACACTTTCTACAATGGTATTTATTTATTTTATACATAAATTAATTAATTATTTTTATTTAAGTATCACATATTTCTTGATTTTTCCCCTGATGGATTAAAGATTGTGTGTGCACAAGCAAAAAGCTTAACAATATTAACTATAGGAAAAAGGTATATCAATTTTAGATTAAAATATTATAAATTTCTAAGTCATAAGAAACATATCAGTGATATCAAGATTACTTCTACAATTAGTGTAATCAAATGGGCACTTAAACATAAAATTTTTATTGGACTTACAAGTGGAGAGGTATAAAAGATAAAATATATTTTTATAATTTTTTATCAATGTGACAATAATATATTTATTATGAATATTTGACTTAATCCTTGATAAGTTTGAATTAAGATGCAAGTTATAATCAGTTGTCATATGAAATTTTGTCAATTTGTGATCTTTGATTATTCATAAAATAAATTACTAAGATTATTATAAATATAAATTTAATAAACCACAATTTTATTAAATTTATGCTTTAATTTAACACATTTTTTGATTAATTACAATTGAAATTTGATCAAAATAAAATCACATTCAGAATGATTCAACAAAGATGAAATTCATTATAAAAATTTGTATTTTATCTTTTGCTTGTAAAATGAATGATCCTTTTTTTAAATTCAATTTGATCCTGGATTGCTATTATTTTTTTTAAATCCACCTTGATCCTGGTTGACAATCCTTTTTTTTGAAAAAATTTGGTATAAGGATTTGACCATGTTTATTTACAATTATTTATTTTATTGTAGAAATAATATTAGGGTCATTCCATTACAAACCAACTAGTGTTTTGGAAAACCATCTAAAAAATGAATGAAACTTGCCATATTAGTTATTTATGTTATAAATTTTAATAAAACAAAATTTTATAATGCTAGCTCAACCAGACTCAAAGATATATGCCTTCAAAGTTGAAAATTGTGCAATGTATAATTTCATTAAATCTTGTTTTTTTAAAAAATAAATAAAATAGAGTTACAAATTATCAGAGTTGTTAAAGTATCTAGATACTAGATATAAAAATGTGGTATCTGTATCTAGATAAATTTTTGATTAAAATATCTGTATCTAGATATTATTTTAGAGGTATCTGAATCTGTTTCTAGATACTTTTTAAGATACATTTTGATATACTTATATTTAACGCTTTTTTAAATTATAAATAAAAATACTTGAGTGTAAAATTTATTTTATTTCATATGAGCATATTTATATTAATATATATATTAAAAAATTATATATATATGTAAAATATTAAAACTTATATATAAAAAAGAATATATAGATATTAATTAAATAGTAATATGTCCGAGTTATCAATAACAAGCAAATTCTGATATTACAATCCATCTCAAGGAATTTGCCATTTTTAATTGCAATGGAATTGGTATTTTATTTTATTCTATTATATTAATTTTTAAGATTAATATTGATGACAAAAATGATGACATTCCATGGCCAATTTATAGACCATATTTTAAAATAATATCTCAAAATAAAGAAAACAAATCTCTGTTAGTAAAATGTTTGCCATGTCCAAAAAATATGAAAATTTCAGTTAGCATTACCTCAACTTGCAACATTGTAAAACATTTAAGGGTATAGATACTAAATAAATGTTTGCAATTTAAATTTTAAATTTTAAGAGAAAACATCAAACACTCTTAATCCAAATAAAAAAAGAGGAAGGAGAAAAAATTATTAAAGAAAATATTGGACTAGACTCATCGTCCATTGATTTTTTTTTCAAGAGACCTCAGACTTTAACCCAAACCATTTTAGATGATTTAATATCTGATTTTATTGTAGATAGCATTCAGCCATTTTCAATTGTTGCAAATCCATCATTTATAAAAATGATCAAAACATTAGCTCCACAAAAAAATATAATTTGCAGACAGACATTGGTTGCTAGAATTTCCCAAAGATGGGAGAATGAAAAGAAAGAAATCATTAAAAGTCTAATAGAACCATCGTTAATATGCACAACAGTAGATTGTTGGAGTGCCTATCACCGGTAAACATATTTCCCAGCTCATTATTAAATTGAAAAATTTTAAACAAACGAACCTGAAATTTTGTTTACCACTCTTAAATGCCTTACTTAAAGGAATTGAAGATAGGTAAATTATTAATAAATTAATCAGTATTTAATAATTCTAGGTTTATTGGGACAATTTTTGAAGATGAAAATATTTTGGCAACGTTTCATCCTTTTTTTAAACTAGATTGGACATGGTTCCAAATGGATGAAAATTTCAATAAAAAAAACGATTAAAACAAAGATTAGTTGAGGAATTATCTAAGTCTTCAAATGAGTGCAAATTAATCTGTGAAAAAAAAACCAATAATTTAATATCCGATTTTTTTCAGTATGCCACAGCAGGAGATATGATTGTTAATAATTTAAATTCTGATAATCAACAAATTTTAAATAGTTTTTTCAAAAATGAATGCCAAGATTTTAGTATTTTTAAACAATATCCTGATTTAAAAATTTTATTCATTAAATATAACACCATAATCCCTTCCAGCACTCCTGTTGAAAGACTTTTTAGTATAGCTAAAAATGTCTTTACAGATAAACGAGGATGTCTTAAACCAAAATTTTGAAAATATTTTATTACTGAAATCTAATAATTATTTATAATCATTTAATCATATATTATATTATTTTGTTAATAATATATAATAATTATTTATATTAATCATATATTATATTAATATCTAAAAATCATTATTTTAGTTAAATTTTGATAAATGTGATATCGAGTCAATAAATTTTTTAGATCATTTCATGAATTTTCACAATAGAATCCTAATTTAGGTTTATTCAAACCTTATCTAAGAGTATAATAAAAAATGTACCTGTACCTAGATACATTTTAAATTGTATCTGTATTTAGATAACTTTTTAGAAGCTGTAAGATAAATTTTTAGACTATGTATCTGTATCTAGATCCATTTAAAAAGTATCTTTTAACAACTCTGCAAATTATATATAATTTTATAGCCCTTAAAATTTTACATTAAAAAATATTAAAAAAATTAAAAAAATAACATGGCTGAGAAGGGATTTTTTGGGGGTGTTGATATTTGCTAGGAATGTTTATTACCTTCTTATTTAACAAAAATTTTGATAACATGGTCATCCAAAAATCTCGTTTTGTTGGTCGATTTGACATGGAATGACCCATTAATGTAAGTAAAGATACCCTTTTTAGATAGTAATTTATCTAATACATTTGGTTCAATTTTTTTTCTAAAATAAATCTTTTTTTGTTATTAGATTATAGTATTTAACACTAAGACCAATGTTCAAACTACAATTTTTAATGGTGATACTATGATTATTGCAATGACACTTCAGTAGCCTTATTTATTATTAACAATAATCTTAAATTAAATATGATTATATTTGAAATATTTATTAATTTAAATATTCTATTCTATATGTAATACCATTTTTTGAAATTTGAGGTTTAAAAATAAAGGCATTGTTTTTAGCACCTACAGTGGCTCTATCAATTCCATCGAGTTCCAATGCCTTGAAAATATTGATGATATAAAAAAACAAGTATATTTTAAAAAGCTGTTGTATTAACTTCAACATAAACTTTTATGCAGTGTATTTACTTTTAGAAGGGATGCTTTGAAGTAGTGATGCAAAATCGTTCCAATCGCTCAACCTTGGAGCTCAAGTCGAAAAAATTGGCACAACCTTGAACTCGAAGTCTATGTATTATCGCTCAAAATTGGAATCTAATAAATAATTATACTTTTATATTATATTTGACTATTGAAAAATAAAATAAGGATGGGTAATTTTAAATTTCTAAATACCAACCCTATAAACATAATTTTGCATTTTTATAAATTTGTTCTATTTTTTTGTTTTGTTTTAAATTTCTATGAAATCTACCCTTATAAACATATTTTTTACTTTTTTATTTTACATAATTGTTTTTTAACAATTGATTGAAATAAAAAAATTTCAATACCTCTTTCTATTTGATTTCCTGTTATTAAATTTGTTATGTTTTAGTAATAAAAATGTTAACTTCCATATTATATTAGCTAATTTGGAATTTTTATAAATTTTAAAATGATAAAAATAATCATCATTAAAAAAAGATGTGTTTCCGTTTATATCTTCAAACATTGATAATTTAAAGTTGAAAAGGATGAAATGAAATAAAATTACCATCCCCTAATTACAGTGATGAGTGTCATTATACAATAAAGGGGGTAAGCAAAGTAAAATTTCATTTTTTTAACACATCATGAAATTAATTCTTGGGACAAATAAAAAAATTTTTGTTGGGATCGGGCCGGGATTTATTAAGTTGGGTTCAATTTTGGCTCGCCCTCCAAGGTTGAGCCGATTTTTTCAGCTTGAGCTTCAAGGTTCAGTCTATATTTTTGGCTCGAGTTTCAAGGCTGAGCCAATTTTTTCGTCTAAAACTCAAGTAAGCCGTTTTGGAATCGGCTTGAATGGAGCGATTTTGCATCACTACTTTGAAGTATAAACATTTCTATATATTATATACATATGAACTGTTTACGTATTTAGATCTGTGCATAAGATGTTTAGAATATTACAATATGGTAATTCCATGTCAAATCAAACACCTCACCACCTTCAATTTTGATAAATTTAGGCACATCATATATGTTCTAGTTTTATTAAAAACGGAATTTTAGCTCATTAAAAATTATGTTACTTGAAAGAATGGAGATTATAAGATACAAAAATCGGCTTTTTTTAAAACCCTATTCGTATGTTAAATAAAAAATTAATTTTTTTTTATTAATAATCATATTTAAAAAATATATAAAACAATAAGATAAAAAGGGGGGGGGGGTGAGTCACTCAATTAAGAAAACATAAGTGAGTTCCTAAAAAAAGCAATAATTATATTTAAAAATTCTATTTGTATTTTTTATCAGTAAAGAAATTCCTTGGCTTCCAATTTTTGGATTTGGAGAGCCATATGAAAAAATTAATATATGGGTAAATCTCTTATCCGGGATTATACTTGCATTACCACTTTTCCCACAATTGTTAAGTAACAAGTTTCTTAAACAGAAACAAACAAATTAATACAAAACACAATTTGCTCCTAACACATTCATTTTTATTAAACTTTGGCTCACAAAATCTAAATCCAAACATTGAAGGTAAAGATTTGAATTTTGTTTTAAGACAAAAAAATACAAATAAAAAAATTTAAATATATTTGTTGTTTTGTTCCTTTTTAGGAATTCAATATATTTTTCATAATATTAAATAATTTTAGTTCGAATGTTGAATCTAATATTAAAAACTAAGTCAATAATTGATAATTATCAGGATAACATCAATTTTTTTAAAAAAGGATCATCTTATGGCCAGGATGACAAGTAGAAAATTTAAAATTAATTTTCAATGTCTTTCGTCCATTATAATATTTACTATTTTTCTAACAATTTATTTAATAATTAGCGCGGCTGATTAATTCAAAAAATATCGCGAATTATGTATAGATACCTATATCTAAGATTAATTGTATTGTACGAAGTGAATAATTATATTATTTGTATTCATACGAATTGAACAATTATATTATTCGTATTCATACGAATTGAATAATTCCTTATTTCTATTCATACGAATTGAAATCTCTTATTCCTATTTATACGAATAATAAAAACATTCTATTTGTTTCATCGAATATTCGATATAAAAATTATATTCTTTAAGAATATTTTCAAAATTGAAAAAATGGACTATTAAAATTTGAAAAAGTGATGTGTAGCTGTTGAAAAAAAGTAAAAATATAAAAAGTTCCGCAAGGAACATGTTAATGAATATTTATGAATAATTTAAAATATTTACAATGATTTCGAATATTTATAATATTATACGAATAATTCGATCGAATAATAGACAAAAAATAATTCGAACTAATAATTTTCCTTTTCTTATTTGATTCGAATAAATTTAATCTAATAACGAAGAATTCATTTTAGATATATTTAAAATGATTCTTAATAATAAAAAAAAGCTTTTTATTGCATTGAAATGTTCATATCTATCGCTGTCTTACGTTTTTTATATTACAAAATAATTGTCCAACCATGCTAATTATTAAAGAAATTGAAATTATTGGAAAAATAGAAAACAAGGAATAGAACTTTTTTTTGAAAAATTGGAACCGATTGAATCTTAATTTTATACTGGCCATTGATAATTTTGATATTTTCCTCATAATTATCAATTATTGACTTAGTTAATATTAGATTCAACATTCGAACATATTTAGTTTTAAAAAAAAAAAGAAATATTTAACATCGAAAGGTTTTTAAAAGCCGATTTTTTTAGCATTAGTCCCCATTATCTCAGGTAATATAATTGCTAATGAGTTAATATCTAGTTTTTAATATAACTGAAATATTATCACTTGTCTACAAATTTTGACCGAAAATATCAGTTTTCTTTCTGATTTAACATGGGATGACCCAATATCTATATTAGTTAAATGCAAGATTAAAATTTTTTTAAAACTATTAAATGCAAATAGCCTTTTAAGCTCTATTAATAATTTAAGCATAAATCATTATTTTTTTTTAAACACATAAAATATTTGTAATTTAGATGGTAAAACTTATCTGCGAGACATCTTACAAGCCTTACATCATATTATGGACCTTAAACAATACATTTCTGGTATCAGGAGCATGCATGTCTGTTGACGTATACACACCACCTACCACCTTATATCAAGATGACAAAGGAATTAAATTATCAGATAAAGAAAAAAGCTGCACTAAATTTGAACTGTCTCAAAATTTTGATTTCTCTTCTGAAAATGATAATAGCTCGTCTAAAAATCTAGCAGATGAAAATGTCACACAAATAGAAATTGAGATTAATTGTGCCTGTCTTAATGCTGATGGTCATATAGCTGCTTTTGGTAGTTTTAATAAGTATAACAAATATCATATATATGAAATTTTTTTTTTAAGTTTATTAATTTAACACTGTTTTGGGGCAATATTGTAGATGTAGTCTTGTTAACAGGCTCGATATTTAAAAACAAGTCTAATAATATAACCAAAGAATATTACGCAAGCCTGAAGATTTTGTTCATAAATGGCAGAGAAATTTGGGCATTTATTAACGAAATTTCGAGGCATAATATTATTTTGGCTAAAATCTTAATTTGAAATTGGCAAAATCGAGCCGTTTAATAAATATCAATAGTACTATGGATTTTATAAATGATCCCACATGTTTATAATATTGTTCACTTTGTCGTACTCTTATTGAAACACTTTATTATAGTCACATTGGAATGGTTTTATTAATATATTTCTACATTATAAATATTGAAAAAAAAATTAATTTGTTATACATTTGTGCGTCATTTATAAATGTCCTTTTTTCTCATAAAAAGCATCAGATTTCTAATTCACAACGAGAATAAAAGTTTATGGGAATTTTCTCATAAAATATACCACACCAATGCCAACTTTATCAATAACCAACCATATTTTTATTGCATCAACTCTATAATTTGGAATTCTGACCCATCTCAAATTATCATCGGAACTGGGTTGGGTGGCTTATACGCTTTGCAGTGTTTTACCACGAAAATATGGTACAGGGATAAAAATTTGGAGTTTACTTTCGTAACCGATAGTTGCCTAGTTGTTCATAAAAAAGGTAAATTATATATAAACATATGCATTATTGTTATTAATAAGTTATAGTCCTTATCCAATTATAATAAAAAGTTATGTAAATTTTTACGGTTTTTTTTAATAACGAGTAAATAAAATTGTAAAGCAAAAAAAAACAAAGATTTATAAACCCATAAGGAACACAAAATAATTTTATTTATCTTCCATGTCTGGGGCCCGACTATGTCCTAGAGTTACCCCTTAGGCTCTAATTTAAAATTCATATTCCAAAATTTGGACGGACATAATCTAAAAGTCAGATTGAACCTGGATCCTCTAAAAGGTATGCAGTTGGTTTTTCATAGTGTTGTTAAACGGCTCAATTTGAGCCTATTTAATACGGCTAACCTAATATTTTATCCAGTAAAATATTACACAAGCCTGAAGATTTTGCTTACAAATGACACAAAGGATCGGACATCTATTAGTGAAATCTCGAGACTTGAGCTAATTTATTATTTTTATAAAAATGCTTAAAATTTCAAGGAATTACTTCTCAGGACTCGTCATTTTTAAATGCTGCTATCGATAAAAGTTTTATTGGGAATAATCAGTATTCATTCACGATTACTTCTCCTAGTTATCAAGCCATAGACCCTGCCTTAACCTATTTTGGTTCCCCGAGGAATAATAGAAACGCGCTTTTAGTCTGCAAAAAATGCACGAAAATAATTTTAACAGACATGGTTGACAAAATATACTGCGAAATAGATGTACATAAATCTTTTTTACTCATCAAAAAATTCGATCAATTGATTTTGCCGAAAACAATAGTAGACAAAAATAACAAGGAATTTATACCTACTAAGAATGGGTGTATTATATTCTTGAACAATGATTCTATAATCAAAGATCACATCATGATCAGGTAGTATAGTTATTTTTATTTTCTAGTTCTAATTCCACTTATCAATTTTGTAAATCGATTTATAAAAAAAACTATTCCATTTCGTTAACATGATCAAAGATTAAAATTTATTTTTTTTAAAAACATAAAAATTAATTTTGGGTTTTTTTTAAAAATTTTAACCCAAAGTGGAACGATAATAATTTATATTTTTCGTTTTAAGTACCCAATCAAGTATCAAAAAAATTACGCATTCAGCGTATGGCGGCAATCACGAGAATTATCATTTTTTGTTGCTTTTCAAAACGTCTAAAGATGGTAAAATATTGCAATGCCAAATTATTTATTACGGGCTACCTCATTCAACGTCACCATCTATAAATAAATTTTATAAAGATCAAAATATTAGTGAAAATATAGAGAAATCATATAATTTTGATAAAAATACTTATTATATGGGGACCTTTGACTTTTTACCCGTTTCTCTCTACTTAGATAGGGGGATGCAGAATTTGTCCAATCACAATCTTGCAAAGTGTATAGAGAGGTTCTTTAGTGTAACATTAATGGACTCCCTTAATAGGAAACACGAGAAGGGAAATTATGAATATGATGATTCCGATGGTAGTTATTCAAACTTAAAAAGTGTAAGGTTATGTTATCTGACAAGCCACCACGATATAAAAATAGGTAAAATTTCATAATGAAATAATTTCTTTATAAAATTTAATTAGTATTAAAATTTATTAAAATGTTCTATTTCTTTTAACTCGAGTTGATTTTATTATATTATATTATGAGTTTGAGATAGAGATTAGACCTGTGCGCCGATGTCTCAATCGATGGCGACGTTATTTTTTAATTTCATCGGCTTTCGACAGCGTGCCGTAGGCGGCGGCAGCGCGATATTTATTTTAAAAAATTTTTAATTTATAAATCATGTATTTTTTAATGAATTTAATTTATAAATCACAGTATTACATTTTTTTATAATTTATTTGGGCTCTCTTTTCTAACACATTGTTAACATAATTTAATTCATTTCTTAAATTATTTCCTGTCTCACTTCAATTTAAATTTATGTATTTTCTAATTCTCGAAATAAACCATGGAATTGCATTTTTACTCTGATCAGATTCACAAACAACAAATATTCTATATTTTTATTATAACAAATTAAAATATAAATTTGGAATGCAAGCTAAATATAAAGTATGAAATATAATAAATCAGTATTAAGATTCAGTTAAATTAATATTGTCATGAATAAATAGTATTTTATCATAATTCGTGGGACATAAAGAAGTCCTTTTTGCATTGAATATTAATCCAGCAATGGGAATTTTTTTTTTACAGGTATACAAAGAACCTTCCTAACTAAATTAGCAAGTCTAGGAAGTTCCCGTCGCTTTTTCTTCCAAAAGGTTAATGTGCATCCTCTTCTCGATATTATGTTGGCTGAGCAAAATATGACATTTCTTTCCAAAAGGTTAATGTGCATCCTCTTCTCGATATTATGTTGGCTGAGCAAAATATGACATTCTTGTTCTAGATTACTAATGTTGTTATAATTTTTGCTTGGAAGGGAATGTTTACGAGCTATTTTAGCTGCATTAGAACTGGGTGCTTGCCCATTATCTTCAACTTGAACCTCATTCTGTGCATTTCTGTCATGCTCTAAAAGTTTTAAATGTCTAATTAAAAATTGCAATGATGTCGTAAAATTTGAATTTAAATATTCTAAAACAATTTTAAGATTTTGAGATCTGGGATCAACAGAGTCGCTAATATCTAATATCTAAAGTTTAAATATAATTTTATTAATAAAAATATAAAATAACTTGAAGTTCAGTAATGAGAAACCTATGGTCAAGCTTTTTTAAATATTTTCTTTTGCAAATAATATTTGAACAACAGATCTATTGCTTAGTAGGGTTTCTATTTCGACCCTAAGTTTATGTCGATCCCTTTTGGGATGAAAGAAATTCCACCAACTCTCGGTATCCCATTCATTATTAAAGGTTTTAAAGATTGTTTTCCTATTTTATTTAGAACAATATTTATAGGAATTTTAATTATTATGCTGTGCCAGCGGATAGGACAATTTAATTTTAAAGTTTTTGTATTAATTAGATTGGTTGGTGCAATGCCATTTCTATATCCTATTTATCAGACATATCAAAATGGTCATCAAAGTATGGATCAGATCCGTAAATATCCAAGATATGACCTGCTCATAAATTGACTGCAGACATTTACGATGCTCTTCCTCAATTTCACATTCCAAATCAGATACCGCGATCTAAGAGCTGAAATAATTTCTCTAATTTTTTAATGAGAATATCAATAAAATGAATTATGTTTATCCGAATCTTTCCTAATCTTTTTTCCCCAATTTTATGCAAGGTTCACAATAAATATAATTAGGCATTATTGTGCTTTTCTTATTTTCATTCTTCAAAAAAGATTTCTAAATTTATGATTAGTAGAGAGAGTTGCTATTTCAGAATTGTACATAGGGTAGTTTTTAACGTGTAAGTTCATAAAAATAATTAATATGTATTGTTTGTGTAAATGGAATACTATATATGAATATATATAAATGATATACACTATTCTATTATATATGGCAATAGAATACAATTCATATATTAATTTCATTAATGTGAATATTCATATTTAAATAATAATAATATATAAAAATAATTAAACAGCATTCTAAAAATTATACACGCCACGCCGCCGCCATTGCCGCCGCCATAAAAAAATTGGCGGTGAGCCGGCTCGCTCCGATGATCTCAATCGGCGGCTGTTCCGGCGTGAATAAAATTGCCGGCGGCGCGCAGGTCTAAAAGAGATACCAATACAGCTTTTTGGGAGGCTCGATACAAAATTGATATGACTTGGCATTTATGAATTATAAATTATCTTAATCGAAATATTTTATGAACGTTTTATGTAAAAAATAATTTGTTTTCAATTAAAGAAGCGCCATGCCCAAATTAATAGAATTTTATTATAAATTTTTTAAAATTAATTTATTTAAAAATAAGAAGGAATTAAAATGAATATGAAAGGGGAAATTTCTGCGATATTTTTTTAAAAGTATATTTATAAATTATTAAGTTATATTTATATTATTATGAATTATTTAAATTTTTTTAAATAAATCGAGTTTTACATTGTAAAACTAAATGAACAAATATTACTGGATTAAAAATTAGAATAAAAATAACTGACTTTATCAGACTTCGTTGAAGAACTAAAAATATGAGATCTAAAATCCGAGGTCTGACAAAATATTCCCAAACTATTTAATTAATTTTGATGACCATTGCTTAAAAAAATGAATTATAATGACTTATAATGAAATATCAAAATATTCGATGTATAACTAAATACGCCAACAATTTTTTTTTACCTATATTGGAAATATCGGATCGGATAGGCCCTTAAAAATACTTTACCTGGTCAGATATATATTTGTATCATTACATATCGACGAGATCAAGTTAAATCTTTACCCAATATTTTTTTAAAAAATAACTCCTTAAAATCAAATAAAGTCGACGCATTTCTGAAACTTTCGGACTCCAACCTAGGCCAGAAAAATGGTAAGAATATACCGGTCGATACCGAAAATGTCAAGGAACTTTGTTCTTACCACCACAATTTCCCCATCAAGAGTCTAAAGTTGTCCCCTATTATCAAGGAATACTTAGTTTTTTTAGATGCAAAGAAAGATTTGTACGTTCTGCGCATTACGATGGTGGATTCTTATCCATACACGAGTAAAATATGTGTCGTGGCATGGTCTATCTTTGATTATAATATACTTATATCGCGTAGGTAAGTATCGTTCAAATTTTCTTTGTTATTTCTTTCTCCGAATTTAATTTAATTTGCATCAAAAGTTTTTATAAGCATTTAACATTTAAAATCAAATCAACGTATATATTTTTTTTGAGTGAATATTGTTATTTCATATTAATATAATAAAATATTAATGTAAAATTATAAGAGATTAAACATGAAGTCATTAAAATATTTGCACAATTAAAACAATTATTTAAAAAAAACATAGCGGAAAACCCAAAAGCTTTCTTATGCTCGACATCTGTATGCTCATTCTTTTGCTGGATTAGTTGGCATAATCAATTTCCAGTTTTATTATTCTCTCGACAGGAAAAAAGGAATGACTACAATCACGGGTATCAAATTGGGTTAATCATGGATTTCAAATCCGAAATTAATGATAAAATCTCAAATTTCAGAAGTAAAAACCATTTAGAAACGATGGCATACCCCCATGCTAATGATAATAACCATGTTCCTCCTTTCCTCACTCATTGGATGGATAATAAAGTAAGGAAAAAGAAAGATATTTTATATAATCTTAATGTTTGCGCATCAATTTCATATATTTTTAATCCAAAAACACTAACCAAATGTATTTTTTTAAAATAAATAAATTACATATCAAGGGAAGAGTTAAGAAAGTAGCAATAGACCCATACACCAATACATATTACGCGATAGCACATAGAAACCTGATACCTGCCCATGAAAGTAACAGGTTTTACGATAAAGGACCAGATAAAAATGCTGACGAAATATTCAAATCATACCCACTCATTCTACCCCAAAATGATCACCGCTCAAGATTGTTATCGTCTACAAATATGGACCAATTTTTGATTGATAATAAATTAGAAAAGTAAAATTGAATAATTTTTTTTATACTTTTAATAATAATTGTAATTAATCAAACTATCAAACAGTAGAGTCATTAAATAGAAAGCAAAAGCGTATTTCTGTTCAATTTTTTTTGTATATTTCAATAATTTAGAGTTATAAGCTTTCTATATTTTCAAATGTTTTAGAGTAAATTACTTTTTTACAAATCAGAGCTATGAATTTGGTAAGCGATAAATCGACCCTGGAAAAGTTTACGAATGCCACATGGCACAGAAATATAGGATATTCAAAATTAGCCGTGTTAAAAATGAAGGATGTTTCTATGTTAAGCTTATTCAATCATTCCATTCTACCTTATGATATTATCAAGATAGATCAAGATGATAATAAAACTTCAAAGAATAATTTTAAAGAAAGATCTACTTGCCACCAGTTCTTGAGGTGTATAAAAAAGGATAGCTCTGATAATAATCAAGATATTCAGAATGCTATTGAGGTATATATATTATATTATTCAATAATATATAGCACATCATTTTCAAACATATTAAAGTTACAAACTGATTGACTTATTTAAAATTACTCATTAAGTTGAAAATGACGCTGATTTATGAATCATTTAAAAAAAAATCTATTATCTGTAAATGTATATGATAGCATATTCCCAATGTGTTTAAAATTTGATTTTACTGGAAATGTATGTCTACCTAAAATACCTATTATCAATTCCGACAATTTGTCATTAACCTTTGAGTCATTTATAATTTATATAAAAAATCTATGGAAAAACGAATGAAATTATAGTAAGTTCAAAAGTTCATGGCACTGAAATTTACAGGGTAGATATTCCAAACATTATGCAATGCATTACCAGTAAAATCAGATATTTAAATACAAAAAAAAACACGTTCAAAAAATGATATAGAGTTGAAAAAGTAACACATGGTCGGAAAATTACATTTCCGCTCACATATACATGTACAAGCCCAGTACTTTTGACCTGGCCTTATATTAGGCTAGGTCTTCAGGTCTCCTAAAGAAATATCCAAACATTTATGATTTTTTTCTGTATATTTAGTTTAGTAGTGTCTTTATAATATAATCATTAAACTTTTATCCTTTCTCAATAAAAAGTCCTTACTTCCCCGTCAAACCACGCCAAATAATCAAGATAACACCAATAAACTAGTTTTCAATCAGGTCTTATCTGGTGACTTGCATTCCTTCGAAAGAGAATTTTTGAAGCCTAACAAAAACATGGAAAATAAATCTAATATTACCAATTCGTCCGAGCTGGTTATCGATCTTATACGACTTTACTCTGCTTCAAATTTATGGGAAGACGCTTTAAGGCTTTACAAAACCCACGAAAACAGACTACCAGCTACTTTAACCAATAAGGATGACAAGGAAAATGTTGATATACTTAGTTAGTTTAATTATTATTTCAAAACTTGGTCGCATTGTTACATTTATTGCTTGATTAATATAAGGTCATAACTCCATTTCGATGAATTTTAACATAAGAGCAATTACATATTTAAAATTAAATTTTGGACAGTTCTAAATATAAAGGGATGGTGATGTTCAAACGTTAAATAATCGATGATTTATTTGTTTTTATTAGTTTTAGTCGGAATATCGACTTAACATGACGATTCAATTTTAGAAAAATTGAACTGTTTTTATAACTAATGCTTCAAGGCTTAAATTTGCTTAGCCGATTTCGCAACATGCTATAAAAATTTTAATATCATTTTACTACAAAAAATAATCTTTTAAAGAAAAAAAAATATTACAGTTTATACCATTTTAAAGGCTACGATAATATATGCGATAGTTATTTAACGTGGCTCAAAGAAACCAAACAATACGCAAAAATAGGCAACTTTTGTTTCAACGAAAATCGCGATTACAAGAGAGCTTTTAAGTATTTTATCAAGGGAGAAAACTTTAAATCTGCAGCACTTATGTTGGAGAATTTAGAAATCAAAGATGTTAGCCAGGCAAAAATTCGTGGGGAGGATATAAATGTAATAAATATGTTGTGTGATATGCTACTTTTACATTTTTAAATTAACCTACGGTTATTTCTTAAAGTTTTAATTTATATAACAAGGGTTGAGAAAATTTATTAAGCAAGTTATATACTAGAGACCAGGTAATTTTTAAATTAATCATCTTTCATTGTGAGATTAGTTCAGGATATAACCTCTAATTTCTAAACGATTGAATATATATATATATATAATATAAATAAAGTTATTAATCAAAGAACTATCTATTCATAATCTCTACAAATCTGCCGCGGAGCTATGCCTCAAATTTGAATCTTTCCTTGAGCTAAATCATCAACAGTCAAAAACTTCTAAAAACCTCAATCAAAAGCCTATTAAACATTCTAAATCATTGATGAATAATAATGATACTAAAAAAATTAAAGAATCTGCCCTGGAATTTTACAAAGCTGGGAATTTATACCCTCAAGCCTTGCATTTAGCTAAGCATTATTTTCCTGGAAGAGTCACAGAATTGGAAGAATGCTGGGGCGATTATTTAGTCGAAAGTGCGAATGATTTCAATGGTATCCACAAATCACATTTTACACTTAAAGGAGAAAAAAACAAAGAGATTTATGGTGGTCCTACAGAGACGTACGAAGATTTAGAGAAAGGTATACCTCGTAAATCAATCATTTAATAAAGTATTTCTTAAAATTTTATCTAAAATATGTTTTGTAAAGATAGGATAATAAAGTTATAAAATATTAACTAATAATCAAATAACTAGCATTCATTGAGTAATCGATGTTATGAATCAATATTTATTTTTCATAAATTAATTTTTAAAAAATAATAATTTCCGATATATATAAGTATATTATTTGTAATTTTCACAACATGAACCTACTATTTATAGATTTCTTTTCAATTATCGTTAATTTTGAATAGTCAATTTAAATTATAACAATCTAATTTGTATTTCGAAATGTTTATTGTTTTTAAAGAATTTTTCAAACATTTTCCTGATATGACTCGAAACGACTTAGTCTCACCTTTCAAAAAATTTGAAAACCTCTCTCACAATCATAACAAAAGCATCAAAGGAAGAGATTCGACGGATATGAATTGTAAATTGGCTGTGAATCATTACATTGAAGCTGGGGCGACTTTAAAAGCCATTAAAACTGCGCTTGATTTTGAGGACTGGGAAAATGCGCAAGAAATTTTGAACCAACAAATAGTAATTTTTAATTGAAACTTTAGCTATTAATTCTATTTGTAAGAAAGAAAAAATATTACTATTTAAAAATTATATTTCAATAGTGGAGTTAGCTTTTATTAATATGTTCTAAGTACAAACCTGGGGGAATGTTAAGAAGTTATTTATCCAGATCGATAATAAAAAACATTTCATATTTATTTTTTAAATTATTTGAGGAATTAATAAAATAAACATTAGAAAAATTTAATCTAATTTTGGCTTTGTTTTATGCAAAATTTTATAATTTTTTAGATAGTATATTTTTTGGCTGCTGCTATTCCTTTATTTAGATATCTGTTTAGCGAATTTTTTTTAAAATTATGAATTATATATAACTAAAATTTCTCTATCTTCCACCTCCAATTCGTTTACAAATAAGAATAAAGAAATGTCTTTAAAATATCACAATAATTAAGGTTTCAGATGATACAAAACCTTTATTTGAAAGACTTGCTCAACATTACGCTCGTATTAAAAGATACGATTTGGCGATTTCTATCCTGTCAAGAATAGGAAATGATTTTCAAGGAATATTGGATATTTTAATACAGGAGGAAGCTTGGGAGGAATTGAAAAATTTCATTGACAAGTTTATACATACTATATGATTTAAAGAGTATATTTAGTGTTGTTAAACGGCTCGTTTTGAGCCGATTTTTAAAAACGGCTAACTCAATATTTCATCCAGAATAGTATTACGCAAGCCTGAAGATTTTATTTGTAGAAGGAATAAAGGTTTGGACATCTATTAGCGAAATCTCGAGGCTTAGGGAATATTTTTCTGGCTAAAATATTGAGTTACCCGTTTTTAAGAATCGGCTCAAAACGAGCCGTTTAACAACACTAAGTATATTTTATAAATAATGCGTGTGATGATCATTAAAGTCCATCAGTCTACGTCCTATCTTTTGAACGGACTGGTTTTCCTAAAGACAACTATAATATTAATTTGCTCTTCAATTATTTTTCCTACAAGTTCTATACCGATTCCACTGTTTATATCTAAAGAGAGCTACTTATATACCATTAGTGATCAATCATCATCTTTTGTTAGCTCTTTATGTCTAACGACTACTTGTATTCCATTGACTATTGATCTTCTTCTTTTGTCAATCATTTGTTGCTTCTAAATTTTTCTCCTCTTTTAACCACACTCCTCGCGTATTTTCTACAATATTGTCTTTGACTCTTATTCCACATGTTTTCTTACACAGTTTTACCATATATCTTTGCCATTTTTCATCTCTTACTTTTTGAACAAATCTTTTCGCACATCTTAACTATCCTTTTTTAAACATTTAAATATTTTTTCCACAACTTTTCCAAACTTAATATATCTTTCTACGACTTTTTTTTTAATCGAAACTGTCCAGCTTTTACAAAAATAATTCATCTCACATTTTTTTTGTCCTGCCCGGCTCGATCCCGAACGAATTTTTTTTTTATTTGTCCTGAAAAGCTTGACCCGAAATAAAAATTACTTGATGCACGGCCCAGCCCGAATTTATTTAAATATAGAAAGAATTAATATTTTTTTTGATTGTAAAAAAAATATTCTACAAATATCAGCGCCTTGTTTCTTGCAAAAATTAAAAAATATATCAATTTATTTGACAAAATGTAATGATAAAATATTAATAAATTTAACCTGGCCCGGCCCGAAATTTTTTAAAAAAATATTAAACCGAAATTTTTAATAATAAACTCCACGGGCTCGGGCCAGGTACTGGCAATGCCTTGATGCGCATATCTCTAGTATATTTCCTTTAAATTGTACAGTTATCTATGATTTAATAACTTATCTGATTTATAATTTCATCTAAAACTTCTGTTGGTTTTCTAAATTAACTAAAGATTTTTCTGTTGATCAAAATTTTTTATTCTATATAACAGTTATTTTCATAAACGATCACCCTTTGTAAAACTATATAACTTTCATAATCTTATCAATTATGAATGATGATGACTTTCATGTGTCAATTATTTATCCAAATCAAAGCTCCCTTTTCTATTATTGCTTTTTATATACAATTTTCTTGTTATATTATTCAAATATGCATATATATGACATCAATTAGTCTAAGACACGTATCTATACTTTATTCTCATAGAGATCCTTTCAGCAATCTTTTATTCTATTTTTATTTTTAGACATTTATATTTATTAATCTATTTGTTCAAGACAAGTATCTTTCTCATAGAGATCTTTTCAGAACATTTTATTGCTCATTTTCTTCCTAATAACAATAACTATTAATCGCTTTTTGCCCTTAATAATATCCTTGTTTCTTTCTTATAACATTTATTATTATCTTTTCAAAATCGATTAAGGCATTTTTTAGAATTTCAAAATGTTTAATATTCGTATTCGTATTCTTTTCTTCATTTTTTTTTCCATATATTTAATATGTAATAACTCATAGTAGTTTTCTTCACTTTCTTTACATCATATGTTTCAATATTTAGTTGTCTCTTTATAGCTTTAATAACACTGTGTGACAAATTTCGACTTGATTTTTTGGGAGAAAATAAAATAAACATGTTTTAAGACAGTTTTTTATGCATATTCTAAATCCGCTGTCAGTTTTTTTCTAGCACGTCAGGTTTTTGATTTATTTTATAACTTCGGTTCTAATGATCCCTACAACTAAAAAAATATCTTAATTTTTGCAGCAAACCTTCCTTATAATTATTATACATTTTTTTTTTATAAAATCCTTACTCAATTTTTAAACAATTTATATTTTTTAAATTTACCTTTATTAATAAAATCTTTTTTAATATAGCTTACATTTAATATATTTATTTATTATGGCTTTCGTTCTCTTCGCTACACTGCACACGGTACGATTCCCAAACAATTTATTTTAAATGAAATAGTTATATTTCTCATATTTAAATAAATATATTATGCTAAGCTAACCTATCTCATATTTTACTTTCGTCAGGATCGCGATCATTTTGAGATCGTAGCATATCTTAAATTCGTAAATGGAATAATTTATTTTTGACAATAAATATTTCATATTTTCATATGATTCATTTAACTGGTTGGAATAGACGATGGGAATTGATGGCTTAAAATTTCCGTTATGAAGCAAAACTGCTTTCAAGCTGTTTTTGCTTGAATCGATGAACAAGCGCATTCATCGGGAACCAATTCAATATTAAGTTGTAAAAAAAGTTGACCTAGATTGTTGTAATAGTATAAAAAATTTTCGTAAGAGAATAAATTTTTAAACGATTCTCCACGGAATCGGTATGAAGTTCGAACTTGATTTTTTAAAATTTAAAAATCATTAAGCCTTGAGGCTAAAAATTTGGACTTTCTTTTCGAAAGTTGTAAATTTCTGCTTATGTCATTTAGTTGCTCTTGTGACATAAATGGCGAATCCTCTTCGGGATGATACTCAAGATCAATATTGTCATTGTCCTGGCAACGTAATTTTTCCAGCTGCGAACTATTAAAAAAAGGAACTGTTGTATGCATATTATATTTTACCGGATAAACAACCGACGAATTTTCTTCTTATTTTTTTTTGTTAAACCCAAATGTACTTACTAATCGAGCAAAAATAACAATCCCACGAATGATTTCTCGCTACGTGCCAAAATGCAGGTTTCGAATAAGGCAAATATGACCGTTTTCCATTTACCCATTTACCCATGAATTAAAAGAATTAAACATGTTTTACATATGTAATTAGGGGCAAATGGTTTATCCAAATCGCAGAGTGGAATATTGTAATATATTTCATAAATCCTTTGAATGATTGGAGAAATTGAACATTTTTGTGCTGGCAATAGATAGCCCGCACAGATGTAACAAAATTTAGAGACACACTTTAAACAAGGGGACCTCGGCATTAATTTTTTGTAGAATATTATATAAGGAGGGAATCAATTTAAAAAAAAATTAATGAAAGAAATTAAATGTTTATGAAAAATTAAGCGCGAAAAAAAATAATTCTTCTCCTTTCTTCCTACTCGTTATTTGGCATTATTATTTATTCTACGGGTTCAAGGTACTCCATTGGAAAATCATATATTTTGTTATAAATTGATTAAAAAAACAAATATTCTTAAATACATTTAAAAAAGATAAATATTAATAAAAAATATGAAAAAATTACCAATTATTGCATTTTAAATGAATTTTTCTTCAAAAATGCTCAATTCAAAAAGAGTACAAATTAAAAAAGTGGGTACAGATATCTGATTTTGGTATAAATTGATCATAAATGCATAAAATATTACTAAATACAACTAAAAAAGATAAATATTACCTTAATTTTGCTCTAAAAATGCTTTATGCAGAGAAAATTCAATAAAAGTGAACAAATTAAAAAGTTCGAAAATATCTGTACCGACTTTTTCAATTTATAGATTTTGGTTGAATTTTCATGGCATAGAGTATTTTTGAAACATAATTAGAATTAATATATAATCTTGAGCATATTTGAAGCAAAATTATATAAAATTTATCTTCTAAAGTTAAAAATTTTGATAGTAATTAATTTAAATTGAAAACTTAAGACCCCCAAAACGAAATTCCTTACCATTTTTCTCAAAAACCAATCGATAAAAAATTATAAAAATTAGTAAATTTATAAAAAAATATAAGTTAATACTATCAATAATTTTCAGGGATTTTTATTCGATACTTTTTAAAATATATCCGTATAAAGACCTAAATTTTACCATTTTTGAGATTTCGAAAAGTTGTCTTAATACGGTAATATTTTTAAAACTTGACGTGTAGGGAAAATTTGGAAAACGGATCGAACTCAGCGTCAAATTCTGCACCAAAACTTGTTTTTTCTTCTCCCATTTTTCTTGTCACACAGTGTAATTTATTTGTTTTTTATTATACCATTAATATTTTTCTTCCTAAAATAGCATAAAATATGCCTTCTCTCAAGATTCTCTAATGTTTTTATTCCTATTCTTTTATACAATATACAATGACCAGGTTGTGTATTTGACCGGTAAAATATGATTCGGTCAATTGACCGGCCAATATTCATTCAAATATATGTTTTTTAATATATTAATTACCTTTATTTTATATATAATAATAAAATTAATTTGTAATATTAATTTTATAATATTTTTTTAAATTCATTGTCATTTTATAATTCATGTTTCACTTTTCTTAGAAGAGTATTGTTCTGGTTCATATACAACATTATCATTTTTTAAATATTTTTAATCAATTTCCTTGTTATCGAGGTTTTCAATCGATTTCTGTCTTTCTTATGAGAATTAAGGATTTACATCGAGCCTAATTTTTCAAGGCTTTCAATCGATTTCTGTCTTTCTTATGAGAATTAAGGATTTACATCGAGCCTAATTTTTCAAGGCCAATCCGGCCCGAATTTTTTTATAAAGTTTTGCCCGGCCTTTAACGACCCGGCCCGAATTTATTTAAATATAAAAATTAATTTTTATAATTACTCAAAATAAACGATATATGTTATTTGGCGTCTACTTTCTGTAAATAAAATCACATAATTTTATTTTACATAAAAAATTCAACATAAAATTGATAAATTTAGATATATTTTAAAAAATTTCTAAGGCCTGACCTGACCCGGCCCGAATTTTTAAAAAAAATATTAGGCCAGACTCGAAGCCCGTTTGGGCCGGGTACGGGCCGGGCCTACTTTTGCAGATCTCTAATAAGAATATTAACCCAAAATCGACCAATTTCTTTCTGAAAAAGTAGAACTAGGAATTGCTAGTAAAATGCCACTTCTCTTAATGGGAAATATGAGCCATCCCCATTCCACAAACTTGGGTCCGAAATCTGATTTTTCTTATCCACTTTCCACATATTATGCTATAAAATATGCCGCTTTTACTTCTGAAATGATATCACTTGAAATATTTGTGCCTAATTCTTGTATTATATCACATGCCTCATTAAGCTCACTGCTAGTAAGATGCTCCAGTTATATTGATGATCCAATAAATAAGCAGTATTATGATTACATGTATTTATATCGTTTTTTTCAAACATATTTTTAATTTGTTTATCTTCAGATTTTTTAGAATATATGCCCGTATTTGACCAGGTCATTGTCTTCTTCATTCTCTTCACAATCATAGTTTTAATATTTAGTAATCTCCCTTAGTAATCTATTTATTTCCTTCTTATAAATATTAATATTTTTCATTTCAAAATCGCATAAATCTTGAGAATGAAATTGTTATATGTTTCTCATCTTATTTTCACTTTTTGCTTTAGCATTCTCAAGATGTTCCCTATTTAATAAATTATCTATTTATAACATAACTTCTTTCATTCTCATAAAATTCTCCTTCTTTCTTTTAAACAAGTTTTTAAAAATTGTAATTTTATATTCCTCCATAAAATAAACATTTTCAAAATAAGCAAGTCAATTTTATCTATCAATGCAATTTAATAATTAACTTTCTATTTCTATATTTAATATTTTATCCCCCCCCTCTCTTTTTTAAAAATTTTTTTCCCCGAATTTGATATGCATTTATAAAGAATCTAGTTTTTTCTTCGGTACTCAATTTTTAATTTTTGAATCTAGAACTGTACCGAACCCGTCGATTGTCGGGTCCAGGACCCTGTAATGGCCGGTAATATTATTATAATATATAGGGTTTTTTTTAGATTGAAGTTCACAAAACCACACTGAAATGTTTCCTGGTAGGGTATTTAATAATGCTGCCACTTTTATTAGATGAAATGTTATAAATTCTTTCTAAATTAAGAAGAAATTATCGAGACGGACGGATCCCCTCCATGATCCGGATTGGGATGGGTAGACCCATTGATTATCACTAATAAAGCTTACACCGGTTTATTTCTTTTAAAAATCTATATGGATATATATTAATTGAGGTTTTACAACATTGACTAACTGCTAAAATAAAATTCTTTTGTTTTATAAGGAACGATTACTATGAATCTTATATGACTATTTTAACCTTGTAATCCTTATCTAGTTAACCTCCCATTAAATTTATTAATTTATTATTTACTTTACAAAAAAAATATATTAATATCAAGATTACCATCTTACAATACCGACTCTTCTAAAAAGGATTCTTTAGAAATAGAACCAATATTAACTAAAACTCATGTTAAGGATCAACTTAGGTTTAAAGCATTCGACTTAATTTCCTCTCCACTTCATGATAAAAATTTCCCCGATTTTCCTATCCGCGCCGATAAGGCTGAACGCATACTTTTAGCCATAGGCGATTTGAAGGCCATTGTAGATATGCACGATCAGCTGGGAACTTATCAAAATCTTTTGAAGACTTTGGAAAATGCATTTCACAATTTTATAATTGAAAATAAAATAGAATATGATTTCAATGATTTGACCTTAAAGTTGCTAAAAATCGGCGACAAATGTGAAGCCAACTATGAAATGGCTTGCCAATTTTACATGTTTTCTACACTATTTAGGCTTAAATTTGGTGACATCGATAATAAAACATTATTAAAGAGAAGTATCAATGAGGGTTGGCAAAAGGCGGTTAGATTATACGAAATAAAAGGTATGTGGAACAAAGCTCTAGATGTTATTAAGCTCGTTCAAAAACAATATAATTCGACACATAATAGTTTGATAGATGATTACAATATGTTTGAAACTGAGCTGAAAAGGGTAAAATGTATTTTTTGTTACTTCCATGATTTAAATAAGGTTTTTAAAAAATAATTGTAAAAAGGGAAGTATGCGTTAATTTAATTTTGGTCGCCTCGACATTTGGAATGATTAATGAATTAGGAGAGACCAGAACTAGTCGGCGCATAATTATAAAAATTTATTAATGTAAATAAATTTACATGAATCTTAATATCAAACTCTAATAAATATATTACAAACAGCAAACTATAATGACATTTATTTTGGCCTGATAATGAGTTTATTTAAATATTGAATTTTTTATATGCAAATACAATATTTGAATTAATAGGACAATCTTGGTCTGATAATAAGATTCAATTAATTGTTTTATATTGAAATAAAGAATTAGATATATTTTATGTCAATTTATTTTATTATATAAACATTCTTATTAATCTTGGCTTAATATGATTCAATTAATTGTTTATATTTAGTTTAAAATTTTTAAATGAACATTACTGAAAAGTTAAAGAAACTGGAACTATGACTATCAGATAGGACAAGATAAATCATATTTAAAAAAAAATCTTTGATGAGGATAAGGAAAATAGATTGGTTAAATGTTTATTCTCCGTATGCCGATTTCCAGGTTTACCCAAGTAAGCCAGTTTCCATTCTGATCTTCCTTCTCCATTTTTGACGATCTTGTGCATTTAATGTTTAATATATAATTTTTTATGGGTTATCTGTTAAAATGGTATTTAAAATAGTATTATACATAAATGGATTATTAGGTTGGGGACATGAGTCCTGTGCTAAAAAATATATTATTTTGTTTGTTATGATTGTAAATAAAAATAAAAATATTCATATTTTATAAAAAAAAACCTTATGATTATTTTACATTTTTATATGAATATAAATGTTTATAAGATATAGTATTATATGAATAAAACGTTCTATATCAAAATCTGATTTTTATGTGTCGTATACAAGACCTAAAAAACCCACTTTATTAGGCTAAAACCAGCTTATCTGACTCACCACTGGTTCGGGACTTATAGGTTCAAAAATGGATTTTTTAAAATTTTTTTTTTGAGAAAAAAGTATGTATTTAAATATCTAAAAAAGGTATCATGTTTGTTTATATATAAGGGCTTACTACTGATATAATCATTATTTTTTGGGCTATGATGATTTTGACAAAAATTGCGCCGACTAGCCCAGGTCGTGTCTATATCTTATGATATTTGCACTGCTTTCGATATAATTCACTACTATTCAAGTTTTCTCGATCAAGTATTGCATGCGTGAATAAATCCCGCTAAGGGATATATATTATACAAAACTCTTTAACCTCAAAACATCATTTATTTTTTTAAACATGCCTTTCAGTTAACCTTATCATGGGCTACTTACTTGGGTCCGGATTCAGCTTACCATCTACTCACCAAAATGAATATTATCGAACCTTTCTTTTCAAACTTTTATCAACCACCACCGAAACCTGTTGACAGCAAGGACGAGAATATAATCGAAGGAGATACCAAGGAAAGCGAAGATAATATAGACGATAGTTATTCGCTTCACGAGGCGAATTTCGAATTAGCCCTGAAAATGGCTAATAAATGTGTTTTGTCGAAGGAAAAAGAAAATTTAATCAGGTATAATTATGCGGAGTATCTGAAAAACCGCAAGGATTACGCTCAAGCTCAAATCCAGTACTTAAAAGCGGGTAAAATATATTGCCCAGTTTTTATATAGAAACTGTAGAAGTTGAAATTTTTGGCCCGGACATTTTAAATGATTTTTTGACCTGGCCCAGAAATTTTTAAAAGTTTGTTATTTTGAATAATTTTGGCTCTTTTATTGCAAATTGTTTCAACGGAAAATTGAAAATATGATTAGTAAATGAATATTAAACTCATCATTATATGAGTTTTCAACTGATTAAATAATTAAAAAATTTTTAATGGCTTGGCCTATATTTTTAGAACAAATTTTTAAAAGGCTCTTTTATTTATAAGTCTTAATATATTTATTACTTTGTGCCAAATAAAAAGAAGTTCATTTATTATGCCAGTTGCAAGTTATCATTAGAATTTATATGAATAAAGTATATATTCTATTCTTAAATCCACGCAAAAATAAATTTAGGTAGAATTCAAGAAATAGTAAACATGTACTTGGAATTAAACGATTTTGAAACTCCTTTAAACATTTGCACTTCTTTATTAAACGATCCTACTCATTCAAATATTGTTACTGGACGAAGTTCCTTTAATCTTGATTCGAGCTTCGACCAAAATGTACGAATGACATTCAAAATTATGATAGAATCTATTCTACAACAATTAGAGGAATACGCTCTCGAAAATGAAATCATGTTCGCTAAAAAAGCTGAAACACTTTATCTAAAAGCTAGAAGGCCGGACTTGTTATTAAAGTTTTTTAAGTAAGAATAAATATAAATTTTAAATTGATAAAGAATAAATCAAACAGGCAAATTATAATTTAATATAATATACTTAAGAAAAATCGTAATTTTTTAATGGCAGCTTTCGCTCAGGCTAGTGACCTGTGGTTACTTGGGTAAAATTTAAGTCCCAGTCAGCGCATTTTTTTAAAGTCAGCGGAGCCCCCCCCCTACCCTGTAAAATCAAACTAATGTTTAATATCACCTGAAATTTCATCTCAAATGAGCAACAAAATTGAGACTTTCAGCCATCCCCATTTAATTTCGATAAAAATTTGCAGGCACATTATATATGTTCCAGTAATTTTAGCTCATTAGCAATTATGCTATCTGAGATTTTTAGAATTGTACAAAAATTGACATTTTTTTATCCTTTACCTATGGTTAAATAGTAAGTTTTTATAAAAAATTAAATTAGTTTGAATAGTAGTCTATTATTAATAACTATGTCAATAATTGATGATATGAGGAAAATATTAAAATTAATTATTTCATAAATATGGGTCTCATCTTATGGCCAGTGAGCTTTTTATTTATTTACTATTTTTTTAAAATAATTTTCTTTAATAATTAGCGCTAAATATAAAAAAAGTATAAATCGCGCTTTAAATGACAATAAAAGTTTTTTTCTATTCTTTAAAATCATTTTAATGAATTTAAAAGTAATTGTTTAAAGGAAGTAATATGAAAAAAACCATGGACCCTTGTAAGAAATAAATATTTAACTATCGTATTCACTGGGATGCAGCTCGTGGATTTGCTTTTGAAGGATATAGCAAATAAAATTTCCTATTCAAATTTTAGTAGCAAAGGCTAGAAGTATTATAAAATTTATAAAAATCCAACAATTCTTTTAATATCATTTTAAATAAAAATAACTACTTAAAGATAAAAATAGGATTATCTTAAAGTTGCCTAGTCTAAATCGTTGTAGGTATAGTTTTGATGATTAATAACCTGTTAAAAAATAAAGATATTTTGCAGGAAATGGCATTGACAATTTTTGATATTTTTACTGATAGAGATAAAGACTTACTCTTCTTGATAATTATGGCTGAACCAAAACAGATATGTTTAAAAAAATAGTTTTCAACCCGAATATATTTATATTCATAAGTCGTGAAAGAATTTAGATCTAGGTTATGAAAAAATGATTAAGAATTTTTTTAATGTAAGATTACTTACTACTAGGGATTAAATTTCAGAGAAATATTAAAGAAAATTTTTCTGAAAATTAGGCGAATAAAACGGATATTTCCTTAAAAAAAGATTTTACACAGGTCAATATATTGATTTATTTTCGTGTTTTATTAAAAATATATAGACTATTAAAATATTATTTAAATAATATGATATAATTTAAATTATATTGTTCGTTATCTTTGTTTGAAGAGATACCCAGATCAGAACTTGAACATGTAGAATTAAGTAATTTGTTATTTTCAACTATAAATTGAAAATTTGCTTTTATAAAAACTATTTCCTGACTTTATCGTTTTAAAAAAAAATCCTAATTCGAGATTTGGAATGAATATTTCCAAAGTTATTAATTCTTTCCGACGCCGTACTAGTATATGGCACTGATAAAATCCTTATGGCAAATGTCTGTATTATATTAATCGGAACATAAACCAAATTAAATAGTTGTTATTCTTTAAATGTAGATAGAATGTTGTTGGATTTTACATACTCTATAATACTTTTGGCTTTTGCTACTAAAATTTGAATTTGCAATATATTTTTTGCTATATCCTTTAAAAGAAAATTAAGTTCATGAGCTGCACACCAGATACATTCCATAGTTGTATATTTATTTCTTACAAGTCCATGCTTTCTTCCTATTACTTGCATAATCCGTTTTTATGATGCTAATTTTGGTGTTTCCTAATTTCTTCAATTTATACTTTAATAAATTCATTAGATAAATATCCTCTTATTCATATTGGTAACTGCTTCAATTAATATATAAAATGTGGGGCTTAGAATTGCTATAATAAAATTTATAATGCATTCCCCTCTGTGTCCACTAGGTATATTCAAAAATGAAATCGAATAGTGCAAACGAATCGAATAATTTACTATTCGTATTCATACGTATAATAAAATCGACTATTTGTATTCAACTCGAAATATTCGAATAATTGGAATTTTCTAAATAAAATAAATCATACTAAAATATACTGACAAATTTTTTTTTGCAAATTAATTTCAAACAGAAAAGTTGTTAAACGGCTCGATTTTTAAAAACGGCTAACCCAATATTTTACCCAAAAAATATTACGCAAGCCTTCAGATTTCGTTAATAGGTGGCTAAACAGAAGGTATAACCAAATTATAAGTGGGATAATTCTCCCCACAATCTATATTTGTAGTTTCATATAATGGCATAGGATTTGTCATGTTAAACGGTTCGATTTCAGCCGATTTTTTAAAACGGCTAACTATATTTTAGCCAGTTGGCTAAACCTCGAGATTTCGCACAAAGATGTCCAAACCTTTAGGACATTTATAACCAAAATCTTTAGGCTTTCGTAATATTTTTTTAAATAAAATATTGAGTAAACCGATTTTAAAAATCGGCTCAAATCGAGCCGTTTAACAACATTACATAGGATAGCTTTAATTTTTATAAGATCTTCCCATTTCTCCTACATGTTAACAAAATATTATATATTTCCTAATTATAAATTTAGTTTACCTCTGATATTTGTTTTTCTTGAAGAATTTTAATATTAGTTATTACTTCATCTAATTTTGTTATATCAGACTTTAACAATAAGTCTCTTTCAATCATTTGGTAGGTGCCATTCCACTTTAATTTAGGTGAGTATGTAGTGAACTACATAAATGTTTACTTAAATTTAGCTTTTTGGAAGAATTACCAATCATTCTGATAACGTTTCTCAATAAAATTTCTTTTGAAATAAAATTAATAACACGGATAAAGCATTTGTTGTGCCCTTTTTTTATTAATGTTATTTAAAATTAATTATCAATAAGGGTTTTATTAATAGTATTATTCGATGTTATGGTAAAATTTGTATTCTCTTAATTAAAAATCTTAATTATTTTAACAAATGCTTTAAATATATTTTCTCTCAATGTGTTTCATTTATTTGAAGAACATCAAATATTATATTATTTAATTAAAATTTTTCATCAATAAAATGGGTTGTTAGCTTTAAAAAGGAATCTGTTGAATTGGTCAAAATATTAGATGAATAATTAATCTAACTTATTTTTGGATATTATTTCTAAAGTTTTCTAAAAATATTTAAATGTTACGAGTTTATTTTATTTAATTTAGAACAAATCAAAGTTACAAATTTAATTTTATTTAATTTATTTTAAAATTTTTACATTTTTATCAAACTAAAAAATCAGGCTTATATAACAATTTTCATATTAATATATAAAAAAATCAATCTACACAATTTATATAAAAAAAATTAATTTACATAAACATAAATAAATAAAAAACAATTTAAAGGTTAGTATTAATCGGTCATATCAACATTCCACCCTTTAAAAAAATGATCTCCACTCACGTTTTTATTGCATGTAAATCTTATCGTGCAGTCTATCATAGTCTTGGAAAATGATATTTATTTTGGTTGTTCATATAATCAGGGTTGTGCATTTGACCGGTAAAATACGTTTCGGTCAATTGACCGATATTTGACCGGTCAAATGTGGTCAAATTTAAATATATTTTTTTTAAGTTAATATTAACTTTATTTTGAAAAAAATAGTAAAATGAATCTATAATATTAATTTTTTAAATTCATTGTCATTCAATAACTAACGTGTAGCTATCTGTATCAGTCTTGTTCTGATTCATATTCAATATTATCATTATCTAATATTTTTTAATCAATTTTCCTGATGTCTTAGATCTTAAATCGATTTCTATTTTCATAAGAATATTAACCCAAATCAATGAGATTATTGTCAACTCCAAATGAGAACAATTTAATAATATAGTGAATGCAAATAGATTAAAATTACCCCCAACAAAGATATTAACAGAATCGTTGATGATAAATCGTGTTTACTAATAAAAATTGTGTATATTTTTTAAAATTTATCGTCAATTATTTTTATTGATACCAGAAATATGTTATAATCAGGGTTGTGCATTTGACCGGTCAAATTTAATATTAACTTTATTTTGAATATAATAGTAAAATGAATCTATAATATTAATTTTTTAAATTCATTGTCATTCAATAACTAACGTGTAGCTATCTGTATCAGAGTCTTGTTCTGATTCATATTCAATATTATCATTTTCTTTAATATTTTTTAATCAATTTTCCTGATGTCTTAGATCTTAAATCGATTTCTATTTTCATAAGAATATTAATCCAAATCGACTTATTTTTTTCTAAAGAAGAAGTAGAACTAGGAATTGTAATTGTCTCTTAATACACTGGGTAGACAAAGTTTAATCTATTAACTTGAGGTCGGAATTGATTGTTTCTGGAAATTACTACTTTCCACATAATTTGCTATATTAAACATGCTGTTTTTGCTTTTGAAATTAATATCACTTAAAATATTTTGGTCATCACTACCTTGTAAAATAGCTAATTCTTGAATTATATCACATACTTCATTAATTTCACTACTAGTGAGTTCTCCTCTTGATAATGTGGACCCAAAAAATAAGCAAACATTGTGATCACATGTATTTACATCGTTTTTCCCTTTTTTAAACATATTTTTAATTTATTTTTTCTTTAAATTTTTTAGAGTATTTAACCATATTTGACAGGTCAAATACTCCTCCGGTCAATTGACTGAATTTGACTGGTCAATTGACCGACTTGCCAACCCTGCATATAATTGTTCAAGTCGTTAATAAGTCATTGAGTCGTTGGCTTGATTCTATCACGTTGGTTTGTTAATATCGTTTTTAGTACGCTGGCTCGTCGTCAAGCTCCGTCGTTATCATTGTCAATTTTACAAAATTGTTATTATCACCAATTGTAAAATTATCATTATTAAATAGGATTTCGGAATATATGAATAATTAGAGAATCGATCAAATTTGGATGTTAGAATAATAAAAGGGTGATAAATCAACAATTTTTAGATAATATTTTTAGCGTTTTTTTTATTTTTAAAAGATGATAAGATGATATGTACGTCTGTACATCCAACTCTCTCTTCAGAAATTTAAGCTTTATGCCCTTATTTTCTAATTTAAAAAGTATTTTGAAATAATAATTATTCATAAGATTGTTTTTAGTAAAAAATAATTTTTTGAGCCTTAAATTTTTAGAAAAAGATCTCTTCATCACATCCTTGAGTATTATTCTAGAATGAAGACGTTTAGTTTTTATATGACTTCTCTTAGTGTTACTTTTAATTGTCTTCAAATTTATAAGACTCAATTTTTTATCGCATTTAGTAAGAGTTTTTTTAATTTTATTATTTTCTTTAATTTTTGTTTCATTGTTTTTTTTAATGTTTATTTCTTTTTTTTTCTATAATCACGAATAATTCAAATTTTATTATATAATATCTCTTTTAGTTTATAAGAATCTTTCATTTTAAATATTTGGTTTTAATTCAATATTTTTCAATTTTTTGTTACTAAGAGATTTATAGTTATTAGAATGATTTTCTTTTATTTCTGTAGGACATAAACATTTTAATGTACACAATGCTTTATCATAATTTGAATTTAACTCTCTTGGAAACACAGCTTTCATGACTAAATATAATTCATCTGGTAAATTACCTATTAAGCTTAGAGTATTCTTACTATCATGAAATTTTAAATAATCTTCTAATTTGTCAATGGACTTTGTTTTATTATTATTGTCCCATATAGGTTTATTTTAGAGATTTATCATTAAAAATTTTTTAATTATTCTTCACTTTTTCAAATTAATCATTTCTTACATGTTTTTAGAATGATATAAATATAACATCCAGTAGTTAAAATCATATTGTCTGTGGATTAAGAATATTTTGTAAGTTATTATAGCCCAATTTTATTTAGTTTGTCTAATTTGATATATACCTCATCTGGTAGTATTCTTGTAAAGGAACCTGCTTTATCGACGTCCGAAATCTGAGTATCCTTGAAGATGTCTTCGAATCTACTCAAAAAAAAATTGCCATTGCCTGAGTATATTGGAAATTCAATATTTATATTAACATTATTATTGGGAATCTGTTTAATATTTATTTATTTATTTACGATTTCCTCGAATATGTAGCGGAACTGCCACCATAAAGTTTTCTAATAATAGATAAAATGTTACGAGTTTATTTTATTTAATTAAGAACAAATCAAAGTTACAAATTTAATTTTATATAATTTATTTTAAAATTTTTACATTTTTATCAAACTAAAAAATCAGGCTTATATAACAATTTTCATATTAATATATAAAAAAATCAATCTACACAATTTATATAAAAAAAATTAATTTATATAAACATAAATAAAAAAAAACAATTTAAAGGTTAGTATTAATCGGTCATATCAACAATTTCCTTTACCAGCAGTTCTTTTTTTGCAAGTGTTTTATACAAAGATAATATTGATTTTACAGAACAATCAATTATAAAATCTTGTTTTAAGAGCTTTAAAGAGTATTTTATTATTTATAAATGACATTAGCAAGTTATCTTTCAAATTAATTGTGCTAGATAAAGAAAATGATGATTTAGTCTTAAAAAAATGTTAATTTTAGTACAATTCCCTTTACTAAGGTGTGAATGGAACTTAAATGATTAATGAGAGGGGATGTTGTTTTACCTTTACTAATTAATTTAATTTTCCAAAGTAATTGTAAAAAAATTTGGAGCCTTTTATTTTAAAACTTCAGAATGATTCGTATTTCTCCTAAAAATCGAAACTTATTTAAATTATATTTAGTTCACTACACCTTCCTCTAAATTTTTTAAAACAATTAGATTGTGAAATAAGGTGGGATGGCATCTACCAGATTGAAAGAAACTTATTGTTAAAGCTTGCTATAACAAAATTAGCCAATGATGTAATGACTAATATTAAAATTCTTCTAGAAAAACAAATATCAGAGGTAAACTAAAATTTATAATTATGGAATAATATGATACTATATATACATATAGGAGGAATGGGAGGATCTTATAAAAATTAAGGCTATCCTATATCCTTTATAAACCAAATATGGTATGTGGGGAAAATTATCTTACTTATAATTTAGTTATACCCTATTATATTCTAATTCTTGAAAACTCCTAAAAAATAGAAAACCTGATTTTCATTTAACAATGGTTATAAAGCAGCATATGATAAATTGTTGGGCTATTATAATTTAACTGGCGATGATGCAATATAAACAATATTAGATTTCAGGCTCAAAGTAGAATATTTTAAATCATTATCTACTGATTTTGATATTAAAATATTCAAGCTAAAGGACATATTAAAAAAATTATTACAGCTATACAGGTATTTAACTTACCTAAATTGGAATAAATATAATTTTATTTCTTAAAGCTGATATATATATCTATCAAACACATAAAGATGAAATATAACAAAACAGACTAGACGTTGTTTTTAAACAAAATAATATTCAACTGTGTGGAATAGATTTTATCTGAGTGAGCCAAGAGCAAAAAGTTATACTGACATATGTTAATGAGATGGAAGGCAAATGCATATCGGATCCCCCATCAAAAATAATTACCTATCTACAAGGAACATCAATTATTTGTGAAAGGTCTTTCTCAGTTGGAACAAATTTGTTGTCAAAAAATCGCATGTCATATAAAGAAGAGAACATAATAAAAACTCTTTTCTTTAAAAATTGGCTTGGCATTATAAATTAAATTAATATACTTTTTAATTTTGTTTATAACTTGATCACATATTTTTTATCATCAGATTATTATGACAATTTTTTATGTTTAAATTTAATTTGTAATAAAAAATTTTGTCAATATATTTGATGATTTGGTTTATTTAGAAAATTCCAATTATTCGAATTCGAATGCAAATAATAGTTTTATTATTTATACAGATACGGATAAAACTAATCTACGAATAATGCACTATTCAAATTCATTTTTAAATAGGCCTATTTTTCACACTCCAATACAGCCCTTTCTAATTTGAGCTTTTTGTTTATACATCTCTTTTTAATTTGAGCTTTTTGTTTATAAAAATGGGACCAAACATCTGAATACTTTCTATGCATCTAAGATCAAACATGAACAATTAAAAATATGAAAGTCCTGCATGCCTGACCCGGATAAAAGAACCAGGCATAATTTTTTTTCTTCTTCAAATATACCCGGGTCTGTCTAAATATTTTAATTCGTCACTATTTTATATAAAAATTAAAAATGAATAAATAAAATATATTTAAAAATTGTTGTATCATGGAATAATATATCACATTCAATCACTTCTCATATTTCCATTTCAAAATTATTATCGATCTTAAGAGAATACTTAACATATAAAATAAAGCTAATTTACAAATTATTTAACTAATTATGATTATTTTTAGGTCAAATTATAAATTTTAGAAATTACTCCTGTGTATATTCTTAGTACTACATATAAAACTAAAACTAAAAGTTTTCGGCTTCATTCATTAATAGTTATATTGACATAAAAATCTAAAAATCGTAATATTCTCATAATTACTATGATACCATTTGCTATTTAGACGCTCTCAAAAAACGTTGTTAAAATAGAAAATATTTTAGACCCGCACAAATTAATGAGCACGATTTTGCCGCTTCCCAGCAACGGCCCTTCATAATACTATTAATTTTTTATTTTTTGAAATTTATCATAACTATTTAGTAAATTGTTTATATTTCGACATAAAAAGTATTTTAATAATATAATAAATTAAATTATATACCTTTTTAATTAAATTTAAAAAAGGAAAGCTAATAAATGGGACGATGTGATGAGAATAGCTAGGGATTATTTGCCATCACAATTGGAAACGCTGGAAAAAGAACTGATAGAAATCAATATAAAGTATCTAGATGATTTTTTTTTGTTATGTTAAAAAAAAATTTATTGGTTTATCCATAAAAATAAGCAGTGAGGAGTTAATGAATTAAATATTTAATATTAATTTTAATAAAGTTTTGTTTAAGATATTTTTTTAAACCATTTTTATATGATTGATGGCATTTATTAATTTTGACAAATATGTTTGCTACTAAGAAGAAATAGTTTAGTAAACAATACAAATTAATTTTTTTAAAATACTTTTTAGGGAAGGTAAAGGGGATCCTCAATCTATATTTGAAAAAGCGAAAGAAATGGAAGAAAATTTAGGAAATTTAGGAAATATCGACAAAACTAATATAGCCGACTCACAATACATTGACAAGCTGTCTAAAATCATTGACTTATACACGAAGGCTGGTTTGACGGTAATATAATTAATTACATTCATCATAATTGATTTTATTATTTTTATTGAATGTTTAAATGAATAATATTGTCTAATAATGATATTTTATAAATCACTTTTATAACAGGCATGCAAAAATGAACCCGAGCTTTCTGACAAAAGCTGTCAACATGCTCTTGCCTTATCAATGTCTTATTTTTTTAACGATCAAAACAATTCTGATAATCTTAAATTTAACCGAAGAGTATCGAAAAATATAGACGGGCTCAAAGAAGATACGAATTTTACCGAAGAGAGAGCTAACTTGCTTAATCCTTACGCCCTTTTCGAGAATATCATGTTACCGACACTTCAGTCGATCGGAAGATTCAGCATATTAGGACAACTCTTGGAAATTCTTTTAAATTTTAAAATGGCGAGGAATAGACCTTATTCGGATTCCGAATTGGACAAGATAAATATGGTTAACTTTCAAAGATGTAGTAAAAAGGATATGGTAGAAATATTTATCAAATCGGAAATGTACCAAAATGCTAAACGATTGGCTGATTATTACTGGAAAAATAATGATATTCAGTGAGGAAGAATAAAACTATTTTTTGTTTATTTCACTATTATAAACATAAAAAAATTCCCCAGTTGTGAAAATTAAATATAATCCGTTTTTTTTAAAAAAAATAAAGATTCCAAAAATATGCGGAAAATGAATTGAAGAATCGGTATATGAAGGAAGGAGACATAAAGTACATCAAGATTTTGGCTAAAATTGATAGTGAAATGGCTTTCGATATATTCACATCTCAAAACAAATGGGAAGAATGTTTGGAATTGGTTAAATCCATTGGCCCCGAAGTAATTAATTTTCTAAAATAATTAATGTAAAAGCCGTTTCTCATTTTTTATTTTTACTTTTCGCGCCCTTTTATAACGCATTTTTCGCTTATAGCCTAAATTTTTGACCCCTTGAAAGAAAGTTATAAATGATTATATTATATTCAATTTAATCGAAATGAACATTTCTATAATATATTTAAAGAAAAATTATTTTTCTTACCTATTCATTCATAAAAAAAGTCGCTTTACTTCAAGTATTCCTGTCTATATGTTCATCACTTAGTTAAAACTTACCACAACCCAAATAACAATAATGAATCGCTAAATTATTCGACGAAAAATATTTTGCTTAAAATATTCTCTCTATTTGTTAATACACCGCTCTATAACTACGAAGACCAAGAATTATATGAAATAGCCTGTGGAACATATGTAGAAGTTGCATTTTTTATCACCTGCCATACGGGTACACTTTTCTCTTCACACGAATCCTACATAGATTCCTCAAATCAATCAATGAGCAAAGATTATACTTTGGCAGAAAATGGTCTTAACTTGGAATTGAGCAATTATCGACTCTGGGCCCACATTAGGAACGCTTTCTTTTTAATAAATCAAGTACTCGATTGCAAAAATATTTATTATTATTAAATATTAATCACTCTATTTATAAATATTATTCAATATTTCTAATTTAAAATAAAATGAATAACTTATTAGAAATCGAATTTTAAGAATTTAAACCCAAAACTGAAAGCAACAGCAAATTTTCAAAACTTGAATGAATGGATATGGTTTTCCCATTTAACCGCCATCAAAATAGCTTTACAAAATATATTCATTCGCGATTCAAGATTATATACAATCCATAAAAATATATCTTCGATATCAAGGTCATCTACAAATGTTGATTTTCCCGATCAATTCAGACCAAATATTGATTTTGTTAAAGGAACCATAGCCAAAATAGATCTAGCTCTCTTAAGATATTCAGATGTCTTAATACCGGCCCCGTTGGCATTTTATCTAGCTGGAACCTGTGCCAAAGTTTTATAATCCTTCCAAAATTTAAATATTTTCTGTCATATTTTGGCACTTTTAAATTAAGATAAAACACTTTTCTAAATCCATGCGGAAAGATTTTTAAAAAAATTAGAAACTCTTAAAAGGAAAAGAGTTTTATGAATAATATTTGACATACCTATTTTTAAATTACCGATATAATTAAATATAGGTATTGAAAAATAAATAATAATGATAAAATTAAGATTAAGCATTATGAAATTATCAGTTATACCTTGTATACTATATATATGGATATGTTATTATCTCTAATGATTTTTTGTAGTGTTGTTAAATGGGTCGTTTTGAGTCAATTTTTAAAACGGCTAACTCAATATTTTAGCCAGAAAAATATTGCCAAGGTCTCGAGATTTTGCTATTGGATATCTAGATCGTTGTTTAAGGTTTGCATAATATTTTTATAGATAAAATATTAGTTTTTAAAAATTGGCTCAAATCGAGCCGTTTAACACTAATTTTTAGGTTTAAAATTCATTTTCCAATTTATAGATTTGGTAAAATGAGACACTATCGAGTTGTCCATTTCTGAATATTAATATGTATAAATATAATTTAAGGTAATGTTCCCTTTTTTTACAGTACAAAATGTTATATTTAAGAGTTTGTTATACAGATAAAATAAGTCTACGCAAAGAAAATATTACAATTTTGATATTAATATATTTTTGGTTATATCTTATAGGAAGCTGGTTGGATTGATACCGCCTTTGTTATATTAAACTTTTGTCTGGATATATTTGAAGTATTTAATTCTTACACCCCACCTATGAATTTGAATTCGTTAATTCATGAAGAGTACAATTGATTTAATTATGCATATTATTTATTACTTTGTTTTTTTTAAAATTTAAAATAATGGAAAATTTTTTGGATGCCTCAAATATTTTTATTTAGCTTAAAATTTTATTAGGAATTTTTATTTATCTTCTATATTGTTTAAAGTTCATCAACTTCTACGTATAAAGAAGAATTTCAAAACCCAACTACAGACCAAGAAACTTCGACGCTAAGTTTCTCACCCCTTGAGAAATATCCCGATATACCTAGACATATTTTTCATTTAGCCTCTTCGTATAATTATTCTCTCCCGCCCCTTTTCAACGAAGAAATAATGCTCACTGATATCGAAGAAAGGGTGAGGGACTGGATTTTAGCAACTTCGTTAGATAGATCTACAAATAAGCAAACCTTAGAACTTCCTATCGATTCTCAAACCGGATATTTTGTAGGGTCTTTATGCTCAAGAAAAGATGCCAATATCACTAATAAACGGTTGTCAGGTTCTGTGCCCATGGGCAAAGTTATTAAAGGTAAATCTTCTACTAATATATCTTCAGTAGACGAAAAGGAAGAGGTTCGTCCTTATCCCCCTTGCATTATAACAGGTCAGTTTAATTATTTTCTTAAGATTTATAATTTAATTTTTGATTTAGGTAGTGATTTAATGTATAGGGAATAATTTTCCGACAATATTTTGATTAGTATATATATATAAGTTGCTTTTTCAAATCTTCCTGTACCAAAAAAATCTATTTTGCTGCCTCAAATTTTTCTAACTATTTTTAGTATTTAATGCCAAATAACAGACAAAATATTATTAAAATTTAATATTTTATATGTTAGCGTCAAATGTGTTTTTTCTGGCAATGTGTTATTTTTTCAACTTTCTTAAATTTTAAAAATGTATTCCAGGTTTAAAATCCTTTCTTATGAACTGTAGGCAATTTTGCCGTTAACCTTTGAGTCATTTATAATTTATATAAAAAAACCTATGGAAAAACTAATATAAAGTAGATTAAGTTCGAAAGTTGGCAAAATTGTCTGGATTCATAGGGTAGATTAGTGATTTGCATTGGGCCTAATTTTTCCAGCCAGGCCCGGCCCGAACCTGGAATTTTTTTTAGAGAGTTTTGCTGGCATGGGAAAAATTTATCGACCCTCCGAATTTATTTAAATATAGAAATTAATTTTTATAATTACTCAAAATAGAAGATAATGCAGAGTTGTTAAATCTTTTATGGTAGCTATAGTTAATAGAACGCTACTTTTTTAAAAATTATTTAATATTTTAGCGCTCTCCGCTACTTAACTACTTTATAAAATTATAATGATTGTAACTGTAAACATGAAAATTTAAATATAATATCATAATCAATTATAATTATTTTGATTTATTATTTAATTTAGAAATTTTAATATATTTCAATTTTAATTTATATTTTCAATTTGTATTATCTAAATCATGTGTAAATAATTTAAAATGTCATTGCCTATGGATATCCAAATAGTTTAAAATGAGTTAGACGATGATATTAATGAAATGGCAAGATGATATATTTATGTCTTTTCTGGTCAAATTTTATCGGAAAAAATATCGTCTGCGAAAACTACAAAATTAATATTTAATATGATAAGAAACTATTAATGATTATTGATGCACCACGCGAATTTTCACAGAATAATTAATTAAATTTTTTATAATCATTTTTAATTTTATTTCTAGATTTACCATCAAATACACTTGATTTATTACAATTATTTAATCACTATGGATTCACATAATCATTTTAAAACCTATAAATAATGATCACCATTAAAAATTCACTAATCTATTGAAACAAATTTTCTAAAAAGATAAGCACACTATTTATTAATTATATATTTTCTTATTTCACTATTCTTACCAATAATCTATGTAAATTACTGTCAGTCAGTGGATCCTGGCGTTTCCACAAGAGGTACCGTCAGTCCTCTTAAATTAAACGCCTGACAGCAGGATAAATTACTGTCAATTAGTGTATCCTAGCTTATACACAACCAGTACCTTCAGTCCTCTTAAATTAAACGGGCCCTGACAGCAGTGTAAATTACTGAAAACAGTGAATGCAATTCACTGCACTGCGGACGCTCTTTATAGGGCTGTAGAGTGCCCGCTTAATTGTGGGATGTCTTCCCAGTGATGCTCTAATAGTAGAGTTGTCAGAAATATCATATATATGTTAGAGATCTGCAAAGTTAGGCCCGGCCCGAAGCAAAATAATCGGGTTCATGCCGGGTCAGGTCAGACCTTGGAAATTTTTTTAAATATATTCTAAATTTATCAATTTTATATTGAATTTTTTATCTAAAATAAAAATATTTTATTTTATTTATTGAAACTAAACGACATATAACTTATGTCTTTTATTTTGAGTAATTATAAAAATTAATTTCTATATTTAAATAAATTCGGGCCAGACCGATAAATTTTTTCAAAAATAATTTCGGGCCGGGTCGGCAAAACTTTTATAAAAATTTCTAGCCGGACGGCTTGAAAAATTAGGCCCGATGTAGATCACTAATTATATGTACCACTGCAGATAGTTGGACACATAACAAAAGGTAAAAATTTATTTATATTTATAAATTGATCTAATCAAATGTTTTTAGAGCTTATTTGGGAATCACAGACCATTGGCTAGACCCTAGGACTTTAAAAAGAAGATCTGTAGCATTAGCTCTCAAAAGGATAATGTGATGCCAGACATATAATAAGTTGAATGGTCTTATACCAAACAAAGATGGCTAGTTATAACAAATCTAAAAAAACTCAAATGAGTATTTTTGATAATCACTCTTATATTAAAAATATGTATATAAAATTATATACTGACTTGCCCTCAAGTGCTAGTGTTGAGAGATTATCTAGTAAGGCGAAGCTTATACTTTCTGATCACTGCTCTACTTGGGGATAATATTGAAATGATTTTATTATTAAAATGCAACAAAATAAATAAAAAATGAATATTACCATAATTAGTTATTTTTATTACTTAAATTTTTTATAATCAAAATTAACCATATTTAAATATTTATAAATGTTGATTTTTATGTATTATTTACTATACATTTACATTATAAGCAAAAAATAAAAAAAATTTATTTTTAAATTTTTTTTATAAAAAGTAGCCAATGCTACTTTTAAAGAATAGTAGCTAATAACGCGCTACTTTTTTTTGATGGGTAGCGATAGCGGTAGCACGCTACTTTTAAAAGTAGTGTTTAACAACTCTGGATATATGTTATATGGCGTCCACAGTTTCTATAAATACAATCAAATATTTTTATTTTACATAAAAAATTTAACATAAAATTGATAAATTTAGATATATTTAAAAAAACTTTTAAGGTCCCACCCGACCCGTCCCGATTTTTTTAAAAAAATATTAGGCACGACCCAGCCCGAATCTGATTTTTTTTTCAAAAAAATATGCATTCTAAACATGATAATACATTTTCGGTAAAATCAGATTTTTAAATTTAAAAAATGCTTTCAAAAAATGATTTTAAGTTGAAAAAATAACACATTGTCGATAAGATATATAAACCTTATAATTATGAAGTGTGCCTTTCGCGAATATAAAATAAATTAAATGAATTTACCTAAAATTTGATCATATCTGTTAGCATCACGAAATATTTGATATATATTAAGACCTACACTACATCGAAGTTATATTATTAATTTTTTAATTAGGTTATAACAGCTATTAGTGATCTGCATCGGGCCTAATTTTTCAAGCCCGGCCCGAAATTTTTAAAAAAGTTTTGCCGGTCCGGCCCGAACCCGAAATTTTTTAAAAAAGTTTTGCCGGTCCAACCCGAACCCGAAATTTTTTTTAAAAAAATTTACGACCCGGTCCGAAATATAGAAATTAATTTTTATAATTACTCAAAATAAAAGACATATGTTATATAGCGTTTAGTTTCAATAAATAAAATATTTTTATTTTACATAAAAAATTCAATATAAAATTGATAAATTTAGATATTTTTATAAAAATTTCCAAAGTCTGACCCGACCCGGCCTGTATTTTTTTTAAAATATTAGGCCCGGCTCGAACCCGATTATTTGAAATAGAATTAGGCCCGTTCGGGCCGGGCTTAACTTTGCAGATCTCTAACAGCTATCTCTGAAAAAAATATATAATATCAGATTAAATATTATATAATTTTTGTTTTTCTAGTAATGCCCCTTCCCAGTTCATTGAATTTAACTACGAGTTTTCTCCTTAATTTGTGGAGATTGGTTACTTATTTTAGTAATGTATTTAAATTTCTAAATTTGCTGAAAAAATTCATAATTTTATTGAGCTAGGAAGGAGCCATTGACATATAATAATACCTAGTTAGACTGTCGATTCATTTTAAAGCATCGTTGAATGCAAATCAGTTCGAGATTACGTGGCACGCCATTTTGGCAACCTATATAGGATCCAGTCCAGAATACTTATTATTTAAATTTGACCTGCTAAATACATATTTTCTTGAGAATAATTTTGGAATAATTGTGAAGTAGGATATTTTATTTCGCTTTTTAAATTTTTTTAATATATGCTCTCCGTAACTAAAACAGTGTCCTCAGTTTTTGATTGATTTGGTGTACATTTTAATGAATATCGTCAGTCATGTATTATTATAAGTGATTTGAACAGAGAAATATGTCATAAGATCTCAAAAAATGAAAATATTTATACAAAGAATGCTCTAAAAAAATGCCTTCCTCTATTTCAAGATGAAAATAAGTAAATAAGATCCTAGTTGTAATTTAAAAAAAATCTTTGTATTCCTAACACTCGCAACTCTTTTAAGCTTATATAAATTTCATTAAATTATACACATTCATAAAGGATACCCAGTCATTAACGAGAACAGTAAAATACATTTCAAAAATACAACCAAGTGCGCAAATAGAGTAGATTGGGATAATTTTACGGATCTGCTTAAGGTTAAATATATTCTTATAATTTTAAAGATTTTTAGTGGGTTATAAACCAGGGATCGGAACCTTTGTAATTTTTTAAAATCAGCTAAAATATCGTTTTGTGCTTTTATCGACGATAAAATGTAACCCAAGGATCGCATTTTTAAGAGTATAATCTCTGAGTCTTATTCGGTGTTTACATGGCGAAAGGAAGGGAAAGGGGAGGTAGATAGCAAATAATATTTAGTGAGTGCTGTCTCCTTTTTTTAACGTTGGGTCTAATTGAATCCAATTTTTGGTCAAAATAAATTCGATCCTTTTTTAAAAGAATATATTTATAACAGATTTTTTATATCAACAAGGTTAACGAAAGTCGCGAGATCGAGGATATCGACAATTTTATCACGAAATGGTGTGGTCATATTATGAAAAATAACTTATAATAATTATATATTCTTTTAGTATCATGTAAAATAATTATAAACACGTTTGATCTCATATTTTTAATTCATTTTAATGTACTGTAATGGTAGTAGATAGAATTTGAAAAATATAAATTTCCCTTGTTTTATCAATTATTTAACTGTTCCTTCTTCGAAACGAAAATAAGATGAATAGTTTAATTACCTAGAATTTCTTGCAGATATCAATACCACGGCCATCAAGCAATATTTAATTTAAACTTAAAAACATCTAATATTTGTAACCAATTATAATTTAATTTTCATTATATGTCCCCAAGGAGAAATGGCATGGAGTCCAATAATATTTTTCTAAATGAATCATGCATTGTAAAATATATAAATTAACTGCACTTTTTTTCTATCATTATTGCTCACTGCTAAAAATATTTGAATTTGTTTACCCATAGCTATAAAACTTATTGATTAACAATATCATAGTCGTTATTAGGGCAATCTTTAATTTATAATGTCACGTGTCTCAACTCTTCTGACCATTCTTATATAAATTTAAAAAATTATTAATCACATATTTATTACTAGAATTATCTTTATTACAATACGATTCTTTTTTTTATAAGAGGACACGATAAATTTTAAAATAATAGTTATTTTTTATTAATAAAATAATCTAAATTATCCAGCATCAAAGAGATATGTTTCCACACTCGTGAACCTAGATATCGATTTCATAATAACTTTATGTCCTAAAAGTTTTGAATAATTTCCTCGATAATATCCAACGTTTCACTATTTTCAAAAATGAATAAAATATTAGATTATGTTTGGAAAATAAAATATTTTACAATTAATATTAGAATCATTACCAATGATTTTTTTAAATTAAAATTTTAGATGATGTGGAAGCAAAAATAAAATTACATTTTATCCAAAGGTGAAAATTCGACGTTGAAATTGGGGAGACTCATATTTTTAACGGTTTGTTGCAGGTAATTAAGATAACGATGAAAAGGTTGAAATTCGGATAATAGATTTCCCTTTTCATCCCTGTTAAAATCGGACAACAATTTCAAGGTTTGGGAAATCTTAATATTGTACAAAAAATTGATTCATAATGTTTAAAAAAAGGAAGAATAAATAATGATAACTGGATATTCCTATATAATAGTATTATTATAAACATTAGTCTTTATAAGTAAACGATATTTCAATTACAATATTACTGCCCCAACCCCCACTCATGTGGAAGTAACATACTTTGCAATATTATTATATGATCACAAACTGTGTTGTTTTTAATAATAAAACCTTTAAGCTTTTTTCGAATACGTGTCGGTTGATGAGTGAATTTTGGAAAGCTAAGATAATATATCGATTCAGTATTCCATCAAAGGCCAATTCTTTAATCAATTCATGGGACAATAAGCTTTTCCATTCCATTATGTTATCCATCAACTTAAAATATTTTAAAAAATGATTATAATTGTTTTATTATTTAGGCTAATAAGGCTTAATATTAATTTTATGCAATGGCATAACTGGGGTATTTTTCAATTTAAGCAAAAGGTTCTAAAATAATTAAAATTTAACTTTTCAGCCCCCCCCCCCCATCATATTAAAAAAAATTAATTATTAATTTAAGATATATATTATTGATATTCGTGTATATAAATATTTTGCAAAATAATTTTAACTTAAAACTTTTATTTCAAATGCAACCTAAATTTTTTTAAAAAATTTACTTTGATGCTGCTCCAAAATTGTCTATTTTGATAATTTATAATTGCGCTATTTTTGGTTTCCAAAATACTTTAAAAATAAATTTTTAAAAAATATATCCACTTTGAATCTTAGTATTATAAAAAAATTATATATTTAAAATTATCGTTTAAATATAATTCTAAGAGTCACTTGATTGTTATAAGATTCTAACTTTAAATCAATTTTATGTAAGAAAAAACATCTGGTTATAACATTATATAAATGTTTGGTGGGTTATTTAATGAAAGGAGTGAAGAATATGGGTTTAATTATCCAAGCCTGGTATGAATTTTAAAAAAATGTTTGCCAGGCCAATCCAGAACTATTTTTTATAGTATTTATTAGGGGTTTACCGATATTTTTCATCGGATCAAACAGATATTTCATATTTTTAAAATATAGGTTATTGACCAATATTATAAAATTTTTCGATCCAATCAAATGGCATCTTAATTTTAAAAAAAATTTATTTCAAATTTCATAATATATTTGCTACTTATTATGTAAATAGATTAATGTTATTATATAAATAAGTGATTTATAAATAAAAATATTTAGATTCATGAATATGCAATATAACTGATCATTTTAATATATTTAAATGACTTATTTTATGGTATAGTTATAAAAAAGTAAATGAGATGAGTGATATGTGTAGTGATGCAAAAGCCATTTGTGATTTTTAAAAACGGCTAAATCAATACTTTAGCCAAAAATATTTTCTAAACCTCGAGATTTCGCTAATATCCACATCTTTGTGCCATATATGAGCAAAATCTTAAGGCTCGTGTAATATTCTGAATAGAGGTGAGTTGACCGTTTTTAAAAATCGACTTAAATGGAACGAACAAAACTATATGTATGCATTAAAAATAAACGATTAGTTGTTTATAAAATACAAATTCAGATATGATATTGAATCGATTATAGCCGATATCAATTTAATATCGGATCGACCTCCAAAAAGTGGTATAGTTACACCCCTATTATTTATCATACCAAACCTGACCAAAATAGAATTATGACCTTAACTCAATGTCGACCAAAGGAGGAGTTAAAATCCTATAATAATAATAATAGCCATTTCCTTAATCCATGCAATGTGTAATAAAAATTGGAACCTCGACCAAACGGTTACTAAATTTGACGTGGTTCAGAGGGTTTTATGTTCTGGTTAAACAAAATATGGTAAGGCAAAATAAATTTATAATAAATTAAACTTGAGAGGGAACATGGGTAAATATATATCATTTTCAAGCGATTTTACTATCCTTTGCTGAATAATTTTGTAGAATTGCTAGAAATATTTTTTTTAGTATGAAAAAATATATAATTTATTAATTAAAACCTGAATTTTAGTATTTTCGGCCAAGAAGAACGGAAATGTTTGAGCCAAAAATTTTATAAAATCCACGATTCTTTTGGTTTGCTTAGTTGACATCGGGTCATAAACGTATTGAATTACGACTATTATAAAAATGGTAATTAAATATAGAAGGTTAATTTTAAAAAAAAAATCTATCAATTGTCCGTAAACACTTGATTTAAAGGCTGTTTTTTCAAAAAGTTTAAAAGATCCAAGGATATTATGGGAGTCAAACATAAAGTGTAGGGACAAGGTCAAAATAGCAAAACAAACATTTTATCATAATAGCTATAAAAAAAGTTAGTATATTGATTGTTTTTACTGGGCAAATAGGTCAGATCCTTAAAAAAAATATCCATACATTCACAATTTTATATTTTCTAACAAACAATATTTGATTCAGTTTGTAAATTTTATTTTAAAAAAAAATATGACAATATTCATATTGTAGTGGTAATATTTAGATAAATAAATAATTGAATTTACATGTTAATTTGGGTAAAAATACATTTTGAATTACATTAGGGATAATGACATTAATATCCGAATCTTGGTCGTAGCTAGAAGAAGATGTTACATTATTGTCAGTAGATGAATCCTTTTTGACCATGTAAGAAAGGAGAGTTTTATACCAGGCAAAACCTTTAAAATCTTCTTTTGAATCATCCTTTTAAAATTATGCAATATCGATTAATATGGTATCGTTTTAAATTACAATCGAATCCATCATTTATTAATTAAGTAAAGAATAAAAGAAAATACAATAAATACCAAATTAAAATATATAAATATTACAAAAAAAATATTCAAAATTAGTGCTACCTGACTTTTATAATAAAAATACATGTAACTATAATGTAATTAACCAAAACATCGATATGTATTAGGGTTAGGTTTGTATTTTTTAATAGGCGTATAAAACCAGCCTTTGTAAATATTTTAAAAAATAAACCAATCAAATCATGGTCATTAATAAATCTTTATTTTTCAATATGGGTATTTTTAGAAAGGCCTAATTTATATTCCCCTAAAAAAATAATAAAAGTAAATATATTGGGATGAAAAGGTTGAAATCTCAATCATCGCAATAACTAACTAAATATAATTATAAATTGCTTAATATATGGTCTGCCTTATTTTTAAATATAAATTGTAAAAATATAAATACATCTAAAGGATTCCATCCTAAACTATGAAATCGAACTAAGTTTTCTAGGATACTGGACAGGTAAAGGTTAATATAGGCCTCTTTATAAGATGTTTTGTTGACGTTTTTCCATTCATCAAATTTGGCCAAAATATTTTCTAATACACAAAAATCCTCTACCACGTCTTGAAACACGGGAGATGCTTCACTTAAGATTTGTTCTTATATATTTTTAAGTAGTATAAATGATAAAAAATATGATTCAATTTGCCAGAGGAAGTAAATATATCAAATTAATCCACAATGGGGTCACTGGGGAGGGAGTAATGGCGGGTTCAGCACGCCTAAATTTAAGTAAGGCCTATAATATTTGATATACAATCATGCCAATTTCAAAATACAATCTAGATAAGAGATAATAAAGAATTATGGCCTTGAGAAAGTAATTTTAATTTATCAACATTTATATTTAGATATATATACTACTTACTCATTTGGGTTTCAGAATTATCTTTATCCACTCGTATTTCTTCGTCATCCGTAGACATGCCTTCAAAATGATTTACATTTGTATTTTCTCTGGCTCTTCGCCTTCTACCTCTATAATCGATTTTTTTTAAAAAAAATTTAATTTTCAACTAACTAAATCTCATTATGTCAAATCGATCAAAAAATATTCATGGAAACCCTTACGATTTGAGTAAAATTTCGTAAACTAAAGGTACACGTTACTAAAGCACTGTTCAAATTTTAACATCCTAGCTTTTATATTTTTAATTATTCATCACTCAAATTATGATATATGAATTATTTTTCCCTATGAAAACAAAAACTTCATATATTTGTTAAATTTTTTAAAAAGTCTGAAAAACTTATTATTTTTAACAAGGATTTTAACTTTAGAATGGAATCCGTCTAATTTTTTTTATAATATGATATAAATATAGAATATTTGGTGAAGATAATAACAATAGTTGTAATATTCATTTTTTTAAGAATAAATAGAATTTATACAATCTTTAGTAAATCTTTAATTGGATGGCAATCGATAAGCGTGTGAATAGGTCATTTTTCATACTTTTTCTTTGATATCTCCAAATATACAAGAGCTAAAATTTGAATATTGCTTTAGTTACGCATACTTTTTCGTATAAAATTTCACTTGAATCCCAAGGGATACAGAAACTGGTTATAAATTTGACATGGAATGATCTTACAAATATGGCCTATCAGAAATTCCCAGGTGAAGGGCAGTCTAAAAACCAATAAATTTAAGGTGGCGGGTAGGGGGGTATAAGATATTTTGAGAGGGTCAAGAAAGAATTGTTAGGCTCTTGCAGCCTTAAACTAATTTTGCTTACTCTCATTGTCAATTTTTTTTATTTTCTTCTTACATTCTTTATGTTTCTGCAATATTCGATAAATTAATTTTTAATTTATATATATTTTAACATTGATAATGTAATTTACCTCCTGGCTTCCCTTTCAGAAATGCGCCGTTTTGTTATGGCATCCTCAGGCTGTTGTTTAGTATTTAATTTATTGTTCATGACTATTTAAAAAAAAAGATAAGTTTTAATAAAATGTGTAGTAACGCTTTAATTGCTCTACGCATGACAATGTCAAGATATTGTAAATTAATTTTAGGCTTTTAAAAAATATAAATATTCTCTTTAAAAAGTTCCAATAAAAATTTTCCATTTAGAATAGGCTATCGAATTTCATCTATATTTGAGAATAATAAATTATTCGATTCGAAAAAATTTTAAAGAATAATAAATTAAATTATTCGTAAATTTTCTAAAATCATAAATAATTTTAGTAAATTTTTGAATTATTCATCAATTTATTTGAAAACTAAAAACAGCTAACTCATTTGTTTATCTAGAAAAATATTATAGAAGCCTGAAGATTTTGCTCATAGATGGCACAAAAGTTTACACATTTTTAGGTGAAATCTAGAAGCTTAGGCAATATTTTTCTGGCTAAAATATTGAGATAGTCTTTTTTAAAATAGGCTCAAATAATCAGGCTAAGAAAATAATTATTAAAATTTCATAATAAAAGCGAGACAAAAATTAATATCAAATAAAAATTAAAGTAAAAAAAGTAAATGTATAAAAATCAAAGTGTTTTTCAAACAAAAATGATCATCCCTTTGTATACAAAAAAAATTAAAATTCGGGATAATGTCCTGAACAAAAAACAGCAATCAGGTCGTTTCACCAAAACTTTGATCGTGACTGAACCTTTTAAAGCGACTTTTTTACAGCGAATTTATTTGCATGTATTATTGTTAAACGGCTCGTTTTGAGCTTTTTTTTAAAAACGGCTAACTCAATATTTTAGCCAGAAAAATATTGCCTAAGCCTCGAGATTTCTCTAATAGATGTCCAAAACCTATGTTTCTTCTGCAAACAAAATCTTCTAGCTTGCGTGATAGTATTCTGGATGGAATATTGAGTTCGCCGTTTTTAAAATTCGGCTCAAAACGAGCCGTTTAACAACACTATTTGCATGAAGACACTAGCGTGAAAGCATTTCAGCGAAATAATGAAATTGCGAATGCATTTAATGAAAGAAAAACACAACATATTCAGCAATAATTTACCCAGAAACGTTTTTAAATCATAAGCGTAAATGTATTAAGGGTATTTCGTTACTTTTGTTGATTAAATAATCAAAAGTTAGCTAAATATGACCTTTATCAGATGTGATTAAAAAAACTTAACAATTTCTCTCTGGTTTCTCACTCATGGTCTAAATACAAAGGGGGAATTTTGGTTTCAGTTTTATTCAGGGTTTAAAATTTGCTAAAAATTTAAAAATCTTCAAGGATCCTTTCTCTTTTGAAGATCAAAAAATGTGAAGATTTTATTGTAAAAGAAAAATTTTGAGCAAAATAAAAATGATTTTTGTAAAAGAACCATCTTTGATATTTCCAGATGTTTATTTTATATTTTTGTAAAAAAAATTTTTACACAGTGCTCATTTGATGGTTTTATTAGCCCAATACATTTACCCTCTCTCCAACCTAAATTTAGAAAATGTGTCAAACGCAGACATGTGCTCTGCACCGCGCCAGCTTTTTTTAAACATTTCACGGGGCGTCGATGGCAATTTAACGCTTAATTATAAATATTTTAAATAGAACACAAAAACTTTTATAAAAAAATTTATTATAAATTAAAATTTATACTAGTATCAATATCATTTATATATTTCTTATATTAGCTTATGAGCTATTAGGACAGCAAGCCTAAGTGAAACTGACGTGCTGGCATTTTGGAAACGCAAAGAGCTAAAATTATTTAAGGTTTGGACATATATTTACGAAATCTTTAAGCTTAAGCAATATTTTCTGGCTAAAATAGTGAGTTAGCGTTTTACAGTGTTTGGACATCTATTAGCGAACGTAATATGTATTTTAAAATAGACTAAATCGAGCCGTTTAACCATAAAAAATGAATTGAAAAAATCAGTGAAGCCGATAAGTAGATAACTTTTCTATACTGGTTTATTCAGCAGGCAGTGAGTAACATTTTTAACTGCCAACGAATTTAGATATAATATAATTAAATTTAATAAATTTTCTTATTCCCTTTAATATCATATATATAATTATTGTAATATATTTTAATAACGATTATTTCTAAAAATAATTCTTAGCCATTTTTAAGACTCCGGCTCGTGTTCGTAATAATACAAAAATGCGACTATTTAACTAATTATATCAAAAACAAGGGTTGCAACGAATATGGATACAGCTTAATTTGATAAAACTATATATTTTTTTAAAATTTTATTCTTATACATCATATTATATTTCTTTTATTTAATCGCATTCTTTTTTTCATTCAAAAAGCAAATTGATTATATTTATTTAAGATTATCATTTCTATCCTCTGTGATCGAGTATAACATAATAAAAATGGATTCCACATTTGAATAAACGCAAATACAAACTTAAAAAGTAGCAAGTAAAAGGTTAGGAACTTTAAAAATAAATTAATATATTAACCGAACAATCTGAATTAAGGTTATTAAAATATAAAACACAATGAGCAAACGTGAGTTATTTATTCAATTTTCATATAAAATACTTTATTGGTATTAAATGTTATAATAATATAATGTAAATTTCTTAAATATTACTAATAAACTGTACATAAATAACGACCACAATTGAATAATTTAATAGTCAATCCACGTCATTTAAATATGTTGCATCAACCCGACCCCCTTCTTTTTAAAAAAAAATTTGTATGATGGATAGTAAGGCACATTGCCGAAAATTATACATTGCCGCTAACATATACACTTACTAGTAAAAATATAAAATATTTAATTCCCAACCCAGCTTACTTCCTGAGATATGGTCATCTTTAGAAACGCAAAAATTCCAAAATATACTATATTTAATTTTAAATATCTCAAAGAATAATTAACTTAAACCATAATTTAAATTTTATTAAATAGCTGTATAATAGTCCTTAAATATGATGTAAAATAAAAATATAATATATTGAAAATTAGTCTATAAACAAAAACAGGAAAATTGATATAAAATTCCTTCTAATTTTTTTATGGAACACTGGCCCAAAAGTTTCCGCACCTTAAATATTGATTTTATGGCTAAAATCGAATATAAATATAATTTATATTTAAAATATGTAGTAATTTTTTCAAAAAAACTATAAATATAGATATATAAAAAAATAGATGGGTAAACATTGGAGATTTATAAAAAAAAATAGGACCGGGTTGGCCTTAAATTTAGAAATAAAATAAATATATTTTAAAATTTTTGTAATAAACTCGATTTTGTTAAGTGCAATGCAAAACTCTATTAGAAAAATAATATTCTATATCTAAATAAATTTGGGCCGAAGACAAATAATTATTTTGTGTTGGGCATTTTGGGTAAATAAAAAAAAATTCGTTTAGAATAGGATCGGACATTTTTTTTACAAAAATTTAGGGCTGGGCTTGAATTAGGCCAGATGCAGATCCCTAGTAGACATTGTCTCGCATTTAGCACATAAGTTTCGCTATTTTATTTTGGAGGAAATTATATTGTACAAATATTTATAACTTTATTTAGCTAATTATTTATATTACATGAATATCAATGGGAATTAATATTATAATAAACATATTAATTAAATATTATCATACATTAAATAATCTAATGAATTTGAATAAAATTTGACTTTTATTTTTACTTCCATGGGAATATATGCATAAAATTTTCATATTCCAGGAATTTTGGCTGTTAAAAAATTTTCAGGATTGATTTCCATGCTTTCAATGTTGCTGACGAATATATTTTACCCCCCGGGATATCTCAGTATTTGTATATGATTATCATAAGGACGTTCGTTGTAGGCTTGCTCTAGCAGCTAACCTCTTAATAATGTCCTCTAAACCATCACAAGGAGTTTTGCTATGTGCAGTTGCAAAAAATGCCATTCTGCCATGATCCCAAAATCATTCTCATAATTGTAGAGGTTTATAAAGTTTTTTTTATACTGGGTAACAACTCCATCAGAAAAGTATAAAATTATTAAAATTTTTACAGCAAGAACTATAAATATTTTGATTAATTGATATGCTGGAATGAGCTTGTATCATCCATGGAATTACCCCTAAGATCATAAAGTATTAATTATAATTTTAAGAAAGGGTTTACATCACATTACTGGAATCAAAATTACTTTTTTTCACTATCAATAAAAATGACGACTATTTCTGTTAAAATTAATTTTTTATGACTTTATGTCAAATATAATTATTTTGTTTTATAATTTCAAGATTAAATCGCCGGGGTGGCCTAATGGGTTAGATGTATGCTTAGAAACAGAAGGACGAAGAAGGACGCAGGTTCAATCCTGGTAAGGAACATAAAAACTTTCAAGTTTTTCTTCGATAACTGATGTGTAAAGACATATGGTAAGATGAATTTCGGAGCTTAGAGATGACACCCCGGTCACCGACAGACCTGGACAGCCGGGTGCTAAGGATACCTGTCCAATAAACAAAATGAAGGAAACAAATGGAAATATGAATATAAAAGCTAGGGCGTTCCCTCCAAGCGACGCGCAGGGTGTAGACCTCCATCCTGTGAAAAGTAAAGTAAAGGTCATAGCAAAGAAGACAAGATTAGCAAGTTTGAATATTGGGACGATTAAAGGGAAGACGAGAGAATTGGCATCAATGTTGAACAAGAGAAAAGTTGTTATAGCATGCATACATGAGACGAAATGGAATAGACAGAAGACTTTGATGATTGGAGATAGGTATAAATTGTACTATAATGGAATTGTTAGAAATAGGAACGGTGTCGGCATCATCCTCAGTCAAGATCTAACCTCCTCAGTAGTAGAAGTCAACAGGATCTCTGATAGACCAATGAAGATAAAACTCTGCATTGGTTAATCAATACTACACATCCTTTCAGTATATGCTCCTCAAACGGATTGCAAGGAAGAAGAGAAAGATGACTTTAGAGCTATCCTTGATGAAGCTGTAATGGAAATCCCTAAGGATGACCTAGTCATAATTGGTGGTGACTTAAATGCGCATGTGGGGAAAGCAAGAGATAGCTACAAAAGGCATCATGGTGGTTTTGGATATGGAGAAAGAAATGATGAAGGAGAGCATGTACTGAAATTTGCACAAGCCTTCGACCTTGCCTTAACCAACACCTACTATAGGAAAAAAGACAGTCATCTAATAACATATGAAAGTGGTACAAGGAAAACACAGATAGATTACATGTTAATCTCTCGCAAAAGATTAAAAGATATAATAGACCTCAATCATCCCAGGAAAAGATATTGCCGCGCAACACAAGCTACTAGTCATGGATTTACACATCTCAGATAAATCCACTCAAAACAAGATAAAACTGGAACCATGCATCAAATTGGGCAAATCAAAAACAATGACAGATGCCTTTGCAATCAATGCAAACATTAAAACAATAGATTCATCACAAGTCAGTGAAAAAATGTGGACAGACCTTTCATCCAGATTAATAGACACTAGGCTTACAAGGGGGTAACAAATCACACAAAGAATTATGGTGGTGGAATGAAGAGGTACAAATCACTATACATGAGAAAAAAGCCCTTTATAAAATATGGTACAAATCCAAAAACCCAGATGACAAGACAAGATACGAAAAATCCAAGAGATTAGCTACAAAGGCGGTGACTAGGGCCAAATCTATGGCATACAATGAGATGTATGAAGAACTACATACCAAAGAAGGGCAAAATAAAATATACAGATTAGCCAAACAGCGAGAAAAGAATTCTAGGGATATAAAAGGAGCTCCGAAAGTAATCAAGAATAAAGATGGGAAATGGATAATAAAGGAAAAAGAAATAATGAATAGATGGAAAGAATATTTTCAGGAGCTTCTCAACTTTATTCCCCACATACTATATCTAGACGAACACTCCCCATGTCAAAACCTCGTACAACCTATAACAGAACAAGAAATAATCACATGTCTCAAGCATATGCAAAACAACAAAGCTAGGGGTCCAGACGTTATTCCAATAGAAAGCCTTAAAGCACTAGGAGATGATGGAATACATCTCCTCACACTGTACATAAAATACTTGGAAATGAAGAGGTTCCCCAAAAATGGAGGCAGAGCTATCTAGTTCCTATCTTCAAAAATAAAGGGGATCCACACAATTTCAAAATTATAGCGGCATAAAACAAATGTCACACTGTCTAAAACTATACGAAAAAATAATAGAAAAGAGATTAAGAGACATAATCGAAATAGGAGAGACTCAGTTTGGCTTTATGCCTGGATCAACAACTGATGCTATCCACGCAATTAGGCAAATGAGTGAAAAATACAGGGAAAAGAACAAAAAGCTACACATGGTTTTTCTCGATCTAGAAAAGGCCTTCGATAGAATCCCAAGAAAACTTATCTGGTGGGCGCTACGCCACAAAAAGGTTCCCGAAAAATATATAAGAATAATACAGGATATGTATATGGGCCATACAACGATGGTCCGTAGCACAACAGGTACTTCAGCAGGCTTCACAAAACGGCGAAGGAGTTCATCAAGGGTCGGCTCTCAGCCCACTTCTCTTCATTACAGTAATAGATGTATTAGTTGTCTATACCTCAAACAGTCCCGTGGAATATGATATTTGCAGATGATATTGTGATACTTGCCGAATCCAAGGATGAAATGAAAGAAAGATTAGTGAGTTGGATAAATATTCTAGAAAAGCACGGATTAAAAGTAAATAGAGAAAAGACGGAGTATATGGTGATAGGAGGAGATGAAACAGAGAGTATTGATATAAATGAATGGCAGATATCCGCAATTGAAAGCTGCAAATATTTGGGCTCCACTATACAAACAAACGGCACAATATAAAAAGAGATAAAGAGTAAAATTAATCAATGGTGGTTAAAGTGGAGATCTTTATCTGGAGTGCTATTTGACAAAAGAATCCCACACAAATTAAAGGAAAAAATTTACACCATAGTTCAACCAACTATTCTATATAGTTCGGAAACATGGCCAACCAAAGAATCAGACGAGAGAAGTCTACAAACTATGGAGATGAGAATGCTAAGGATGATTGCTGGGGTAACAAGAAATGATAAAGTGAACAGTACAAGAATACTAAGTAGTTTAAAGGTAGTGCCCATTAAGACTAAGTTAATGGTAAACAGATTTAGGTGGTATGGGCACACAATGAGAAGGCCTATGAACTACATAGGAAATAAGGTTGAGAGTTTGGAAGTGATAGACAAACGTAAAAGAGGAAGGCCAAAACTTCAATGGGGCCATAAAGTTAGAGCCAATATGAAGAAGTATAAATTAGATAAAAGAGATTGTATGAATAACATAAAGTGGAGAGATGTTGAAGGAGCTTACCACCAGAAAAGGTGAAAGCTTAAGAGATAAAAAAAAATAAATAATTTCAAGATTAAATTTTAAGAAATTTATTTGTTATAACGAAGCGAAATTTTCATAATATACAATGAAAATATATTTATGACGATCACAATGATTTAATCATCCGGAAAAAAATAAACTACATTATTGCCTCACAGAGTTGCGTGGTCAAAATTTTCAAATTAAAAAAAAGCAATTGATGGGCGAAGGTCCATCCTTAGGTAGGAAGAGATTATAGGGTGTTGACTTATTTTTTATTCTTTATACGCTTCCAAATTAAAACGTTTTTCGTTTTTATAATAATGTACATTTGGCAAAAGCTTTTTTTGCTCTTTTAATATTTAAAAAAAGCAAAATAATGGTGGTATTTCAGTTTTATTTTTTTGCATATTGACCATTTTTCTTATTTGGTATAAAATATGATATAAGCTATACAAATTATATATAAAGTACAATAACTTTTGACCTAATACTCATCCCAGTTATCTGTTAAAAAATTTGAAAGAAAAAAATATCAATTTTTATGGACATTTCCGGTTTTTGATAATAAGCAGATTTTTAATATATAAAATTTTATGTCATATTAAAGGGCTATTTTAGAGCTATTTAAAATTATAGTGTATTTTGGAATTTTCACGTTTCTAAAGATGGCCACAACTTAGGAAGTAAATTAAGTTGAAAATTAGAATTTTTACTAGTTAGTGTTTATGCTACCAACATACAAATTTTTTTAAAAATCGAAGGGGGTCGGGGTTGAAAATCGAGTTTTTTGGTTGATTTAATATGGAATACAATATATCGTCGCCTGTGATTTAGATTATTTTATATCCACTTTTTTTTACATAAATCAATTATCTATAATTTTACCATTCCATTTACATTAAAAAATCCGAAATATTAATACTCAAATTAAAACCGATACAAGGTTAACCATTCTATATAAAATTAATTTTTTAAATTGATCTGTAAAATTACAAAAAGTGGAGAGAATATTATAATTCTCAGGCGACGACATATAAAACGTCATAAAAAATTATATTTTTCGACCAAAAATCAGCCAGTTACGATGATCATAATATTTTTATAAGTAAAAATTAGAAACTTAATTAACGAAACTTAAATGTGATATTAATAAAAATGGCATTAGGTTTACCGACTTTGTATCAGTGAATATTCTTGACTTTCATCTTTCAAATCTTGTAACCTACGATTTATAAGCCTGGAGCTCCTTTGTTTCCATAAATTGTGAATTCTATTCTCCAGAGAATTTATAATAACTACCTATGAATTGAAAGAAAATAAGGATTTAAGTTATAATTTTTTGCCTTTATATATTAATAGATTGTATAATATCAATTCTGAAAAGAAATACTGGATGAAAACATTTAGAGCCAATTTTTTACAATACCCAGCTTAGAAGTTATAACATTTTTTTAGTACCCAAAACTTTTAACTCAACTCATAAGCAAAACAGAGTAGTTAAATTTTTTTATATTTTTTTTATGGAGTGAAAATAATGGCAGAGTCGGCTTAATTTATATCCAGAGGTTAGAAGTTGGAACTTCTTTCCAATACCACAAATTAACTCAGTTCAGGAAAAAATAGTTAAAAAACATTATATTATTTATTCCCTGAGAAGCAAGATAAAATCCAACTTCTTATTATGCCTTGAGGTCTTAGAAATTCTGTATAACAAAAGCCGTTTACTAGGTTCAAAATAGATTTGTAAACAAATCTATATATTTATAATCTTTCTTCCAGCATAAAAAAAATGGCGGAATTCAGAGTTCACAGAACTCCTTTGTGACATTAAATTTTTTAAAACTAGTCTCAAACCTATTATATACAACATTTTTGCAAATCATCGAGTCGATCGACCCATCAGGTCGGCTCTGGTCTGAGCCAATTTTTATGACTCCAGCCCGTGTTCGGAGTTGTAAAAATCCATTTTTAACAACATTAACTGGACTGTCAAAAACATTCCTACCAGAGCGCGTATAAAAAAGTATTATATCACCCTAAAGTTGTAATAATGAACATTTTAAATACTTTCTTAAAAAATTGTTTTTTTTGATAAGTTAATTTTTAAGAATTTAATTTTTGTGCCCAAATGTTTATAAACAATTCGGAAAATACGAACAAAAAGCTATATTACACTATAAATATAAAATATTTTACTATGCAATGCATTAAATTTAAAAAAATCAGTGATTTAAAGTGACGTCATTAGTGCGTTCCTTGAGGTGGGGAGGGGATAACGTCACTTGTTACTTTTTTGATAAATAACGCTTTATTTTAAACGCCAAAGATTACTTTAATTTTTTTAAATAATGCGCAATATTATTTTATATATTTAAAATATTTAACGATCCAAAATATTTATATTCATGTTTATATATTGTTTGCCGATAATTACATCCATGGAATATCAATATCTCAGAAGTTTTAGATGGTTGAACAAAAAAGATATCTTATTTTTTAAATTTACAAATGATTTTAAATTATTTTTATACATTAAAAGAGTAATTAATTTAAATTTTCAAGTGATCTTATATTTAATATTAATTTATACGCCAAGTATTCAAAAATAGGTTTAAGTAGACAGGCAAAATAAGGAAATTTTTTCGCAAATGAAATCGGCTGTTTGTGAGGTCTAACTAAGAACGTGTTTAATTTAAACTCTTCATAATGACGCCATGCCTCCGAGTACAAAATCTTTCTTTTTTAAAATATATTTTATTACTTTTCTCATTACAGTATATATAAAAAATAACGTTTCTAAAGCATATGAAAATTAAAATAGGCCTAGGCCAATAAAAAAAAACATTTATAAACCGAACAAAATATCATACTTTTTCGTTAAGGCAATCGATTAGGTCTTCGATGTATTCCCTGAAATCTGTGTAAAATGTGTTTTCTGTTTGCAATAAAAGGGTTTCTTCCTTAAGATGTTCAAATAAAGCTTCATTCCCAGCTTGAAATTCTATCGTATTTGTTAGATCCATATTGAAAACGCTAGTGTTACTTTTTAGAGTCTCAATTCTTATATATATTTTTTTTACAAAATTCATTATTAAACTTACTTTATTAAATGATTAAAATCAAGTTTTCTAAACGCTCTTGAAAAAAATTTGTCTTAAATAACACTGTGTGACAAGAAAAATGGGAGAAGAAAATAAAAACAAGTTTTGGTGCAGAATTTGACGCTGAGTTCGAATCCGTTTTCCAAATTTTCCCTATACGTCAAATTTTAAAAATATTACCGTATAAAGACAACTTTTCGAAATCTCAAAAATGGTAAAATTTAGGTCTTTTATACGGATATATTTTAAAAAGTATCGAATAAAAATCCCTGAAAATTGGTGATAGTGTTAAACTTATACTTTTTTATAAATTTACTAATTTTTATAATTTTTTATCGATTGGTTTTTGAGAAAAATGGTAAAGAATTTCGTTTTGGGGGTCTTAAGTTTTCAATTTAAATTACTTTCAAAATTATTAACTTTAGAAGATAAATTTTATATAATTTTGCTTCAAATATGCTCAAGATTATATATTAATTCTAATTAGGTTTCAAAAGTACTCTATGCCATGAAAATTCAACCAAAATCTATAAATTAAAAAAGTCGGTACAGATATTTTCGAACCTTTTAATTTGTACACTTTTATTGAATTTTCTCTGCATAAAGCATTTTTAAAGCAAAATTAAGGTAATATTTATCTTTTTTAGTTGTATTTAGTAATATTTTATGCATTTACGATCAATTTATACCAAAATCAGATATCTGTACCCACTTTTTTAATTTGTACACTTTTTGAATTGAGCATTTTTGAAGCAAAATTCATTTAAAATGCAATAATTGGTAATTTTTTCATATTTTTTATTAATATTTATCTTTTTTTAGATATATTTAAGAATATTTGTTTTTTGATCAATTTATATCAAAATATATGATTTTCCAATGGAGTATCTTGAACCCGTAGTATGAGCAATAAATAATAATGCCAAATAACAAATAGGAAGATAGGAGAAGAATTATTTTTTTTCGCGTTTAATTTTTCATAAAGCGAAGAGAACGAAAGCCACAATAAATAAATATATTAAATGTAAGCTATATTAAAAAAGATTTTTATAAATAAAGGTAAATTTAAAAAATATAGGTTGTTTAAAAATTGAGTAAGGATTTTATAAAAAAAATGTATAATAATAATAAGGAAGGTTTGCTGAAAAAATTAAGATATTTTTTTAGTTGTAGGGATCATTAGAACCGAAGTTATAAACCTTCAAAAAGTGCTAAAAATGACCTTTTGGGCCACTTTAATCTAAAATAAATAAAAAAAACCTGAAGTGCTAGAAAAAAACTGACAGCGGATTTAGAATATGCATAAAAAACTGTCTTAAAACATGTTTATTTTATTTTCTCCCAGAAAATCAAGTCGAAATTTGTCACACAGTGTAATTAGTGTTAATTTCATCGATATACATTTAATAAAACTTTTATCAAAAAAAAATAAAATTAAGAGGAAAATAATTTTTATTTTTAAAACCTTTTTTCAATGTCCCTTTTAATTCGGTCACAATCGAAATTGGAAATATTAAATTTTTCATCTTCACGACTCAAAAAGTCGGGTATTTTCAGGGTTACACTCATTTTTTTTTGAGCTTCGTTGTTGTATTGTGGTAAAGAATCATTAAATAGATTATGATAAGGTGGTTGGAATGCATAGTTATCATTTTGGTTTATTAATGTAGTTGTTGAAGTGGAAGTTAGACTATTAATTTTCATCTGGTTGGAACTTGGAAGGGATTTAGAAAAGTTTTGGATGATTTTGGCCATGTGTTGCTTGGAAGGCAAATTTAGGAGCTTTAAAAAATAATTTTTTTGGATTATGTTTATTAATATAATTATAGATGATTTTAACGTTAAATGAATTATGAATGGGACAAATAAATTTCATAATATTTTTCCATAGTCAAAATATACTTTTTATATATTCACTTTCATAAAATTACAATATAATAAATGTCCGCTACAAGAATAAACAAAATATGCAAGTTTAATAAATAAATAAAATACAACATGTATAAAAAAATAAACACTAGAAAAGTGTCATTTTAAAAAAAATATCAACTACTACAACAGGCCTATCTTTCCAAAAAATCATTCGTCTTCATTTAATAGTAGATCTTCCAATTACACCTCTTGAGCCAGATCCATCAATTCTGGGGATATCTTTATTGAGTATCAATCTCTCCTTTATTCTTGCGGATTATATTTGGCTTTGTAGTGAATGCATTCACTATCGGTCTTATCTCTAGTTGATCCAGCTTGGGTAACACCGTTCGCAATACTCTGATATGATTGTTTGGGTTGGGTAGCACCGTTATCGTGGCCCTGGTATCATTACTCGTTCTCGGGATATGATCCTTTCCTATGCTTAGAACAATCTTTCTAGACGCTGTCTTGTAAGTGACAAGGTTAACATTTCTAAGATTTCTGGCCTGTTTCCCTATCTAATGTGGATGTACCCCTTGACTACTATATATATATTTGTTGTATTCCATATCAAATCAACTGAAGATTCAACCCGACCTCTTCGATTTTTTTTAAAATTTGTATGATGGTAGTATATACACTAACTAGTAAAAATATAAAATTTTAATTCTCAACTCAGTTACTTCATGAGATATGGCCATTAGAGATCTGCAAAGTTAAGCCTGGCCCATACCCACTAATTCTATTTAAAATAATTGGGTTTGGGCCGGGCCTAATATTTAAAAAAAATTTGGGCCGAGTCGGGTCAGACCTTGGAAATTTTTTTAAATATATCTAAATTTATCAATTTTATATTGAATTTTTTATGTAAAATAAAAATATTTTATTTTATTTATTGAAACTAAATGACATATAACATATGTCTTTTATTTTGAGTAATTATAAAGATTAATTTCTATATTTAAATAAATTTGGGCCAGGCTGGGTGGGTAAATTTTTTTAAAAAAAATTTCAAGTTCGGGATGGGGTGGCAATTTTTTTAAAAAAAATTTCGGGTTCAGGCTGGGCCGGCAAAACTTTTCTAAAAATAATTTCGGGCCGGGCCGGGCTTGAAAAATTAGGCCCGATGCAGATCACTAATGGCCATCTTTAGAAAAGCGGAAATTCCAAAATATGCTATATTTAATTAATATCTCAAAGAGTAATTAAGCTAAAGACATAATTTAAATTTTATTAGATAGCTCTAGAATAGCTCTTTAATGTGATATAAAATTTATTTTATTGAAAATAAGTCTATTACCAAAAACCGGAAATGATTATAAAATAAAAATTGCTCTTTTTTTCTTTCAAATTTTTTTTACAAATAGACATTATATTTCTTAATATTTGTACAAAATCCTAGATTGGGACGAGTATTGGGCCAATAGTTATTACACTTTAAATATAAGTAGTATGGATTAAAACCTATATTATATGAAATATGAGGAATTAAAATATTTAATTTTTCAATCAAATACTCTACAAATTCGCTGGTAGACTTAGTTAACGTTTCGAGGGTGGTGTCTGCCGCCAACCATTGTTAAAATGTTATATAATTATATATTTTAATTCCTCATGCATTTAATTCTTCTGAACATTCTTCATTTTTTAAGTCATTAAAATCGGAAGGATGAGGAATATCTAATATCTGATTTTGCAGAGAACTACGCTATTTCAAGATCACCCTCAAGGTTTCCATTGGATTAATAATCAGGCAACACTTTATCCATTTATGATTTATTACCGCAAAAGCGATTTTATCAATGTGGTTAATCAAAACTCAATACTTGTTCCTTTTATTTATTTCAAATAAAATTAAATCTATTCTTGAAAGAAAGATTTGATAAGATTTCTATAATTTTTTATTTTTCTGATGGAGCTGTTACCCAGTATAAAAACAAAAAAAACTTTGTAAACCTCTACAACCATTATAATGATTTTGGAATCAAGGCAGAATGGTATTTTTTTGCAACTGCACATGGCAAAACTTCATGTGATAGTTTAGGGGGGAATTACTAAGAGGTTGGCGGAGCAAGCTAGCAACGTCCTTATGAAAATCATATGCTAACTCCTATGGATTTATATAATTATACAGGAATTAATATCCCGGGGATTAATTACATATTTGTCAGCAACGTTGAATATTTATAAATAAATTCATTTTATAAAATTTAAATTTTTTAAAATATCTAAGATTAATTAATATTTACAAAAACTTTTATAAATAATATTTATAAAATTTATTTTTTAATCGTTTACCCGATATTTTATCGAGACTAGAATTAGTAGATGAAATTGAGCAATCTCAGGGTAAAACAGAAGAATTTGAAAACTTTAATTAGCACTGTATCGTGTATGTTAAATCAATAAAATTTCCTTAAAAGATAGGGAATTGGAGTTGTTAAAATCCTGGCTAACAGGTAAAAAAAACCACGGAAAGATTAAAAAAAGATAATTAACCGAGGTGGATGACTGCATACGCGGTAATCAGGAGATTATTACTCAGAAATTGGGGGGAAAAAATTTGGAACTAATACATGCCTGGTATCAGGGGCAAATGAAACAGTGGGGCAGAGAATATGTCCAGTGGCCTGGTATGAACAGTGAAATTGAAAATATAGGTAAAAGCTGTGAGACCTGTGTAATATGTGGTCAATGCAACCTAGAGATGAATGTAGTACATGATCAAAAGTATATCAAGTGATGCAACATCACTCAATTTGAACTGATTTAAAAAAAACGATTATCTCAGTATTATATCCATAAAAATATAACGCAAGCCTGAAGATTTTGCTCATAAATATCACAAAGGTTTTAACGAAATCTCAAGGATTAGGCAATATTTTTTAGCTAAAATTCTGAGTTCGCCGTTTTTAATAATTGGCGTAAATGGAACTATTTTGCATCACTAGGTATATCAACCATGGGAATGTATTCAAGATTTTTTTAAATTCTTGATCGAGGGTGCTTTCTCCAAATGAATATAATTTGAAGATGCATTGATTAACTATGAAAGTATTGTTTAAAATATTATGGGCCAAATTCTAAAATAAGTTTAATCTTATAATATATAAAAGAGTTTTCAAAATTTATTATTTTCACTCTAAGACAAATTAAAATATTACTTAGTTCTTAAAAATACTTGTAAGCATGAAAATTACTTGACTCAATATATGGACCTGTGAACACATATTCCAAATACTCAGCATTCCAGCCGACTTTCAACCTATGACAGATGAATGGAAAAAATGAGGCAAATTAATGCCGGTCCCAATACAATCAACTTAAATGATGACAACACTTAATATCAGACTGTTAAATATACATAGTAAACAAGGGGTTCAACCCACAATAGATAAGGAAACACTCCAGAAGTATAATAAATGTTACCATTGTCATTCACAAGACCACATCAAGAATGATTGTCTCATGCATTGGAAAAGATCGATAATCTCCAATATTCCGAACATGAGAAATGATACCAGGGCTATGATAACAGTGTTACCCATGGCTGAAACAACTAAGGAAATAAGACTGATAGTGAATGTAATCTCTGCAATGCCAAATTTAATCTTGGCTATAATAAAGGAGACGAATATCCTTAATAAAGATATACCCAGAAATGCTGGATCTGACCCAAGAGGTGTAATTAGAAAAAATAATATTAGATGGAGACGAATGATTTTTTGGGGATACAGGCCTGTTGTAGTAGTAGATATTTTTTTAAAAAAGACACTTTTTTATGGTTTTTATTTTTTATACATGTTGAATTTATTTATTTATTACGTTTGCGTATTTAGTTTATTCTTGTAGTGGACAATTTTTTAAAACATATATAAAAAAAAATTTTTTTACATTAATGAATAAAATTTTGTCTCTTAAAATAATGATTTAAATATTTATTTACAAAATTTTAAAAATACTTACATCTCATTTTAAATTAAATTTTAAAAGCAAAGTATCAATAATTTGTTTTTTAATCAAAAAAATTATTTAGATTATACTTATTTACAAATAATTAACATCTATTTTAATAATATTTTATTAATCTATAAAGTTAGACAAATTTATGAGATTTCAAAATGAAAAATTTTTCAACTTGAGGCATGTTGTATCCTTTTCTAATTTGTTCATTCTCCCATTTTTCGAATTCCTCATCTTCCGAATCTTGTAAATTTAAGATTTAATAAAATAATTATACCAATATAAATATTTAGAATATTCACTGACTTTCAAAAGAGGGAAATATTTTAAAAAAATAACAACAAAGAAATACTTTCTTAAAAAAATGAATCAAATAAAAAATGTATATTCGTAATTATTCGTTTTTCTAATTATTAAATATAACAAAATATAATTTTTTAAAAAAAGATGTGATATAACCTTTCCCACTTTCATCATTGTTACTGTCGTAAGACTGCATGGAAACTTTATGAGTCCGCAATAAATTGTTTTCCTGATTTTCTTGACCCCTTTCTTTTTTTTGCCTATCCTTGTCCAAATATTTTAGGAGTTCCTTTTTGCTCCTATATTTTTCTTTCGACTCTTTTTCCAAGATAGTAGACATATTTATGAATTTATCTTCGGATTCATTCATTTCATTAAAGGTCTCAGTTTCATCAGCATCACTGATATCATTATCATCTTCTCTTTAATATGCAAAATATTATTTAATTTTTTGTATTGAAAATATTAAAATTGTTGTTGAAATAAATGTAGTTAATAAAATCACTTTTAATATTTAAATGAAAATCAATTTTTTTAGGTAAATATTTATTTTTCCAAATTTTTTTTTGGGTTGAATGTTTATTAATCCTCAAACTTACAGGATCTTAGGTAGATTCCATTCCATAAAGATAGGTATTAAAAAAATTTAAAGGAGTCCAGCCAACTTAAACTTATTTAGCCGAAAGTGAGTTCACTCTAACGAATATCTTTTTTAAAAAAAGGTTTCATTTACAAACATTTCAGGGGATATGATGAAAATGAGAGTGAGATGATACTAAATTAAAGGAGGCGTATGCTCACTTTCATGAATATGTTTTCTGTTATAAAATATTTATGGAATAGAAATATCATATAAATGTAGTGCTGTAAACGTTACTTCAAAAAGAAACGCGTTAGTATCAATTTGTAATATACTAAATATCTGTTTAGAATAAAAATAAATAAAAGTGTTGTTAAACGGCTCGTTTTGAGCCGATCTTTAAAAACGGCCAACTCAGTTTTTTATCCAGAAAAAAATTATACAAGCCTGAAAATTTTGCTCATAGAAGGAGCAAAGGTCTAGACATTATAGTATCGAAATTTCGAGGCTTAGTCAATATTTTTCTGACGAAAGAGTTAGCAGTTATTAAAAATCGGCTCAAAACGAGCCGTTTAATAACATTAGCTAATATGCTTGCTTATTAAATGATAATACTCGCCGAAAAATATGATAAAATACCAAATAGGTGAATTTTTTGTAATATACCAGGTCGAATATAATTTTAAAAAATTCCGAGCCGGGCCTAAAGCCGGGCCGTTTTTTTAAACCGGGCCGGGCCGTGGAAATGGTACCACTGAAGGTCTCTGATATTTTGACCAAAATGATTTTAATATGATAATATTTACGGTTAGTTTAGAGATTCCATGATTTAATATTTATTTTGTATAATTAATTTCGAAATTAAGGCAATTTATAGAAAAATATAATTCAAAAATAACGCTAACTAATGTCAGAGTGAAAGTAAAATCATCTATTTAAACTACTAAACTTAGTTACACTCTAGTTTTTACCATTATTTTTGAATTTTAAGTTCAAAATGCCTGGTGAATTTCCAATTGAACCAATTACCCAGGAGAACATTCTCTTGATTTTGAAGAAGGAATGAATAATTCAGATATCGAAAAACTCTAACTATGCAGAGAAACGATCAGAGACAATATTAATAAATTAATCGATCCCGTTAAATCTGCTCGCATTGGCCTCAAAATATGACAACATCAATGGATAAACGTACAAAAAAGACTATCTGTCTCTACCTGCAACAGAATGATTCATTATTTGGGTTATAAATTTTATAAGATGATTTTAATTTTTATACCGATACTTTATTTCTTAGTTTAATGATAGGCTAAAAAATATCTATTAATAATTAACCAAAATAAGAAGAGATATTATTTCGCAAAGAGATGTAAAGATTGGACCTTTACCAAATAATCAAAGGTTGTTTTTGTCAAGAAGTCTAAGTTTGTATTGAAATTTGAGAGTATTTGCAATAATGTGGTACGTAAGACAAATAAAACATTCCATCCTGATAAATAAATGTTTGGGAAAATGAAGTATCTAAGAGTGCCAGGTTTTGCATTATATGTATATTTAATAATATAATTATGACAATATATAATATTTCATCCTATCTTAATTGCATTTGTAAGTAAAAACCGGCGTTATTTCTGGGTTTATCACTGTAGTTATCATGTATAAATATAATTTTATCCAAGTTATCTGGAAATAATGAAGATCTTTTTGAAGCTAATATCAAACCAGCAACAGAGAAAATACATTAACTCAGTGTACTGGTGTTGGGACAGAAAATATTTTCCTAGCTTTTATAAACTATAATTTTATGGTAAAAAAAGCATAATTATTCAATTATTGATTTGATTTAAATATATTTATGATTGTTATATATTTTACCTTTATTTAGAGGACTTCCGCAAAATAGGGAAAACATTTATACTATCTGTCATGAGTGGGTTCTTTTTTTAATCGTTATTATATTTTTGTTTAGGCGCAATAATTTTGTTTTGCAACAATGGCGCTAGAATTTGGTTATACTGATTATAAGACTCATGGTGAGTCTTGTTATATTATTTTGATAATTATATATGTCGTATGGGAATATGGAATCCTTGGGGATTAGGAATCTCATGATTAATTCTTTACCGAGGGCAATTTAAAAAAATTTAAAATCCGATTTAAATGGAAATGCATTCTAGCATGTGTAGAGTATTTACCCTATAAATTTCAGCAATAGAATTTTGGTATTTTTTAATTTTTATGAAAAATCCATAAAAATTAATTTAGGAGTAGTTCCAAAGTTCATTGCAAAATTGTTTGAAATTTACAGTTTGGGTACTCTACACATACCGAAATACAATTCCAGTAAAATCAGATTTTCAAAATCTAAAAATCGCCCTTAGTAAATGATTTAAAATCAAGAGATTCCGAATCCCCGCGGATTCTATATCCATACGACATATATTTCAATATATTTACCGTATAAAAAGGGTAAAAATTGCCAAAAATAATCATTATTTTATTTGTGTCCTTTAAAACAAAATTTGGTCTTAAAAAATATAACTTTGTCTTAGAAAATAAAACAAAAAAAAGTAGAGATGTCACTAAAAACTTTAAAAACAACGATTATGACAAATGTCACTTATCTATGGTACATCTCCACTAAAATATTATTTAAACATGTTAGCAATGCTTATTTTAGCCCATTTACGTCAAAAAAATTCGAAAAACTTTAAAAACAACGATTATGACAATTGTCACTTATCTAGGGTACATCTTCACTTAAATTTTATTTAAACATGTTAGCAATGCTTATTTTAGCCCATTTACGTCAAAAAAATTCGAAAAACTTTAAAAACAACGATTATGACAATTGTCACTTATCTAGGGTACATCTTCACTTAAATTTTATTTTAACATGTTAGCAATGCTTATTTTAGCCCATTTACGTCAAAAAAATTCGAAAAACTTTAAAAACAACGATTATGACAATTGTCACTTATCTATGGTACATCTCCACTAAAATTTTATTTAATCATGTTAGCAATGCTTATTTTAGTCCATTTACGTCAAAAAAATTCGAAAAACTTTAAAAACAACGATTATGACAATTGTCACTTATCTATGGTACATCTCCACTAAAATTTTATTTAATCATGTTAGCAATGCTTATTTTAGCCCATTTACGTCCAATAAATTCGAAAAACTTTAAAAACAACGATTATGACAATTGTCACTTATCTAGGGTACATCTTCACTTAAATTTTATTTAAACATGTTAGCAATGCTTATTTTAGCCCATTTACGTCAAAGAAATTCGAAAAACTTTAAAAACAACGATTATGACAATTGTCACTTATCTAGGGTACATCTTCACTTAAATTTTATTTAAACATGTTAGCAATGCTTATTTTAGCCCATTTACGTCAAAAAAATTCGAAAAACTTTAAAAACAACGATAATGACAATTGTCACTTATCTATAGTACATCTTCACTAAAATTTTATTTAAACATGTTAGCAATGCTTATTTTAGCCCATTTACGTCAAAAAAATTCGAAAAACTTTAAAAACAACGATTATGACAATTGTCACTTATCTAGGGTACATCTTCACTTAAATTTTATTTAAACATGTAAGCAATGCTTATTTTAGCCCATTTACGTCAAAAAAATTAAAAACTTTAAAAACAACGATTATGACAATTGTCACTTATCTAGGGTACATCTTCACTTAAATTTTATTTAAACATGTTAGCAATGCTTATTTTAGCCCATTTACGTCAAAGAAATTCGAAAAACTTTAAAAACAACGATTATGACAATTGTCACTTATCTAGGGTACATCTTCACTTAAATTTTATTTTAACATGTTAGCAATGCTTATTTTAGCCCATTTACGTCAAAAAAATTCGAAAAACTTTAAAAACAACGATTATGACAATTGTCACTTATCTAGGGTACATCTTCACTTAAATTTTATTTAAACATGTTAGCAATGCTTATTTTAGCCCATTTACGTCAAAAAAATTCGAAAAACTTTAAAAACAACGATTATGACAATTGTCACTTATCTAGGGTACATCTTCACTTAAATTTTATTTAAACATGTTAGCAATGCTTATTTTAGCCCATTTACGTCAAAGAAATTCGAAAAACTTTAAAAACAACGATTATGACAATTGTCACTTATCTAGGGTACATCTTCACTTAAATTTTATTTTAACATGTTAGCAATGCTTATTTTAGCCCATTTACGTCAAAAAAATTCGAAAAACTTTAAAAACAACGATTATGACAATTGTTACTTTTCTAGGGTACATCTTCACTTAAATTTTATTTTAACATGTTAGCAATGCTTATTTTAGCCCATTTACGTCAAAAAAATTCGAAAAACTTTAAAAACAACGATTATGACAATTGTTACTTTTCTAGGGTACATCTTCACTGAAGTTTTATTTAGACATTAGCAGTACTTATTTTAGCCTATTTACGTCAAAAAAATTTAAAAAAGTTTAAAAATAACTATTTTGACAATTGTCACTTATCTAGGGTACATCTACATTAAATTTCACCTGTTAAAGAAACATATTTATGCCCATTAGCGTCACAAAAAAATCTTATATGTTCAAAAATATACCTACCTATTATGATAATTATCATTTTTCCAGGGAACATCTTTATTGAATTTATAATATAATATCTTTACAATATAAATTATATTATAACCCTTTTGTGTCCAAAAATTTCAAAAATCTTAAAAAATAACGCATATGACAATTGTCGCATTAAAAAAAAGTTTGACATAAATATTAATAAAAAAATAATTTAGAAAAACCACCTTTTTTAATATACTTAAAATATAGATATATTTTAAAAAAAAACTATTTAGAAAAAGAAAAACCATCTCTTTTAATATTCTTAAAATATAAATATATTTATTAAAAAAATATTTAGAAAAAGCCACCTCTAATAATAAACTTAAAATATAGATATATTTATAAAAATAATATAAAAAAAACTATAGAAGATTTGACCTAAAAGATTATTTATTTATGATATAATTAAAAAAAGAATAAAATTTTATGATAAAACAAAAGATTAAAATTTCTTCAAAAAATCAGCAAAATATGTTTCAAAAATATTTTTGTACTTCAAAAAATATTTTTTGCTTAAAATTTTTAGCTCAAAAATATTAATTTTTTTTTATTTAAAAAAAAATCAAATAAATAAATCCATTTTTATTATAATCAAATCAAAACATATTATTTGCATTAAATAAAATATAAATAAAATAAATTATTTTACTAAAAATAAATAAATAAAATTCTACTATTATTTAAAATTTCTCAATAACAAAAATAATTTTTGGCTCTAAATTTAAAATAAACTCAAGCTACCCTCTGAGCCCACTAAGCGAGCCGACTAAGCGAGCCGACTAAGTGAGCCGACTAAGTGAGCCGACTCATGCGGCTCCTTGATCGGCTTGAGTCGGAGCCGTTTTTTACGACTACGACTCGAGTCGCAAGTCGTAAGAACTCGACTTTTTAACAACACTAGATGTAGCATATATGAAAGATAAATTTATATTTATCGATGAGAACGGGTATCAATGAGTAGGTTATATGGATATTCACAAATAAATAAAAAGGCAATTAAAAATGTTCAAGGGATAAAGACAATTAATTATACTATCATTGCGGCTCTCACAATTGCAGGAATATTTAGATTCGAAGTTCTTGATGGCCCTTGCAATGCTATATATTTTAGCAACTTTATAAATGAAATATTAAATCATTTTGTAGGCAGCATGATTAATATGATTTTTGAGATGAATAATGTTCTTCCATTAAATCATAATCATACAAATAGGGAATCGATCGAAAGAAGAGGGCATACATTGAAATATTTACCATTTTACAGTCTGTATCTTAATCCTATTGAGAATGTATTTTTTCAATAGAAGGATTTTGTCAGAAATCAAAATCCTAGAACGAGGAAGAATTAATTCGTTTCATAGAGCATGGTGAAAAAGGAATATCTGAGGAGAATGCCAAAAATTATTTTAGAAATATAGAGACCTATATTCCAAAATGTAGAAGGGGAGAAATTATTAATGATTAATATAAATTTTTGTTTCTTACTATATTAAATATATATCGTAATTGTAATTAAATAATTTGTATGTAAAAAATTATAATAAAAAAGTTGTCTGCCAAAAATTTAGTAAAATTATATATACTTAAAAAAAATTTCAAAAATGAGAAGAAAAAAAATTGAGAAAAGATACAGTAAGAAAAATAAATTGAGAAAAGATACATTAAGAAAAATAAATTGAGAAAAGGTATAAATAAAGTAAAGAAATTGCAAAAAGTTAGAAATAAAATAAGAAGGAATTTCAAAAATAAATAAAAATTTAAGAAAAATTTATAATTTTTTTAAAAAAAGTTTAAAAAATTACGATTTTCCTTTTTTGATTGACACTTTTCCTTTCCTTTTAATTTTTTTTTTCGATTGACATTTTTCCTCGTATCGTTGGGTAGTCTCGAATTATGATTAACTTTATACGTTTTGTCGCTTTACAAAAAGGTGAAAAAAGGTGAAATTGGATTTACAAGCTAAATACCATTTTTCAATAATCAACTCAGCATACTTTGAGTTTATATAAATAGGAAGTATAAAGGTAACCAATTTTTTTTAAACTATTAATTAAATATGACATGGAGATACTTTATGCTATTATAATTACATAATTATATTTATATAGTATAAAGGTGCATATTCTAATATCAATCAAAAGGATCATATCCTATCCAGACCAAATCTGATATGTATTATGATATTTTGTTTTCTATTTTCTGTTTGACACTTTTTTTTTGATTGAACCTTTTACTTTTTTGATCAGACTTTTTCCTTTCTTTTTAGGAATTTTCCTTTTTTGATTGACACTTTTCCTTTTTTGTTTGGGCCTTTTCCTTTTTTGATTGAACTTTTTCCTTTTTTGATTGAACTTTTTCCTTTTTTTCCTTTTTTGATCGGACCTTTTCCGTTTTTGAATGGAAAATCCTGTAAATATTTTTATAGAAGTTGTTGTGTTCTATTTAAAGATATTTATAAGTACAACATCATGTAAAATCGGTGGCAGTAGGAAATGTCTAAAAAGGGTGGACGATGGTGGCACACAGGTCTATTATGAATTTATTTAACAGTACATTTTATCATGTTCAATGCCGATTGTTTCTTCTTTGTGTTAAATATAATAAATCTCTTTTATTATAGCTATGTATAAACAAACTTCTCTGTGGACCTGTCTAGAATCCACAAAAAGGTCAATGTTACCATAGACCTGTCACAAGGGTCTCCAGGACAAGATAGTGTAACATTTTTCTGGCTCTCATTTCTGCAAAGTAATCTAGCCAATGTTATGGCAATGGACCGACTATCCTTTTTATTATTCTTGGCCATATTTAACTTATTTTTTTAATTTAATTAATAATTGAAGCAAAGAAATTTTGCCTTATTTTAATTAAAAATTTACTAATAATATTAAATAATTATCAAAAGAGTTTTCTCTTAAAAAATGGATCTCACATACAAAAAATAATTTATTTATATAAAAAAAATTGGTATAATTATAAATTTCAAATAAGTGATACTGAAAAAGAAGCATTTAATTTATGTTTAAATAAAAATATTATTTAAAGGGAATTCGATTAAATGAAAATGTAGTAATAATAAAGAGTAGCAGCATTTAAGAGATTAATTTACAATTAAATAATTTAAAATAGGTATAATTATAACACTTATAAATTACATCATGCTATTATATTTATTGTCAAATATGCTATTTCTAACAAGTTCTTCTTGCGTTAGAATGCATATTATTAAAGAGAGATGAAGAATGATAGACTTACAGGCCTGCATATCACCACACCAAGGGGGGGGGGATTTTCATATCAAATTTCTAATAAATAAAATAAAATATCCAAGTTAGTGAATATTTAAATTTAATGCATAATATTAAAATAAAGAATAAAATAAATATTTTTTCCCTATTATGATTTATAAAATCGAGCCACTGAATGGGCCTAGATATAAAAAAATTAAAATGAGGTCTTGGGTGGAGTTGAGTCAAAAAAATAGTTTTTAGAGTCTATAATACTTAATTCTCTGAGACAAAAGATAACATAACAAAGAGGTAATAATTAAATTTAATTAAAATAAATTAAAAGAAAAAAAAATAATAGAAGTAAAACATTTTCTTTTCCCACATTTTTTTAAAATAATTTTAGGCTGTAACCCTTCTCTCCAGCCCAACATGATTTATTTTTTAAACCCAATTCTACCAAATTTTTAAATTTTTAAAACTTGGATCCAGCCTTGTCCAATTTGAGGTGACTTGAGAGCTTAGCTTTGGTCTAAAAAATAAAATAAGGCAGAACCAGGCCATAACCAAAAAATAATTGAATATGCATAGCTAGTACATAAATTAATAAAAACCTAATTAGTCTAGATTTTGTTGAGGCATATCTTATTGTATCATCTAAATTCATTTTGCTAAAACCATTGTCAGAATATTCTTTAATTTGCAAGATTTCATTGTGATTATTTGTATTAGGAGTTTCATTCAATGTTTCCCTAACATACTGCCTTTGTTTCCTAGCAGCAAATATCATAGCTGCATTAGGAATCTCACCAGCTATTATTTATAGATGAAATAAATAAAAAATAATATTGGATGGGTATTTCAAAAAAAAAATTCATGAACCTTGCAAAGTAGATTTTAATGGATCATCAACATCTTTTTGTTCATCATCTTCAATCACTTTTTCTAATATTTGAATAGGTAATATTTCAGTGGAATATATTTTCTATATAAGAAATATTTACAAATTTATCTTTTTAAAGTCACTTTAGGTTTTAAAGGATTATGTAATTTTATATTTGAGTCGTAATTTTTATTTAATGTTTTGTCATCATCTAATACATTTAAAATTTCCACTGTGTCTTTCAACTTGTCCTTTTTTATTGACTTTGATATCAATCGACTTTTGTAAGATTTTTTAATCTTAAACATCTCCTGGTCTTCTCCTGTAAATAGTATTTAGATAAAAAATATATATATTGTATAACCATCTTCATCACCAAAACTCAAAAGTGGTTGTGCTATTAAATTTTTTGAGAAATTAACATCATTAATAGTTTTATTATCTTCAATTTCTTCATCGGAGTTAACTATAACTATTTTTTGACGTAGATTCTTCTTCTTCTTTTTCAATCCAAACATATTGTCAAATTTGGAGATACCATAGGGAAAATTAAATCTGTTACTTGTCACGTGACCTGCCAGAGTATCAAATTTTGTTATTGTTTTGGGACCAATATGCATACGGGAGAATATTTATATCTGGTGAATTTATTAGAGTAATTGGAGAAATAGAAACAAAAATTGAGATCATAATATATAATGTAAGTAATGTGGAAAGCCTAACGTTTGTGAGAATTTAAATATCCAATTATCGAATGTATTATCTCACGGACTTAATTTGCTTTTAGAAGATCTAGCAAATAAAATATTGCCAATTTAAATTTTAATAGTATAATAAAACGATTACGACTACTTATTAACTTTAATATATATACCGTTTATTTAATTTCAAAAGAATCACATCGTATTTATTTATTAATTCATTATTTTAATTAAATTTTGAATAGAATGTTCTATTCTTTTTTTATAAAATATATAATAATATTTTAATACAATTTATCACAAGTAGCAAACAAATTTTTATAAAATATATAAAAATTTAATATTCATTTATGGAAAAACATCTATACGCAGGAATTTGGTCTGGGGGGGGGGGGGTAATAAATATTTTTAAAAAATATTATTGTTAATTAAAAATACTAAGCATAAATTTATTAGGACTAATAACTTTTCTAATACACAATTTTAAATTAATGTGAATTACAAAAAAATTATATATATAAACCTGCATAAAAAACTATAAAATAAGTGTGAATTATAAAATATAAAATGAATATAACCACGATATGAATCACTTAAATAACCCAAAATTGAAATTTTAATTTTTTGATCCTTTAAAATATATAAAGTATAAAAAATTTAAATGTTGGAAATATAAATTAATACACAAAAATTTCTTAGGGATAATTGTATTTTGTATGTTTTGAGCTAATTTTTCAATTATCTATCCTTGCTTGGCGTTAAATGCCTATGAATATAAAAGATCCAAATCCGGACTTAATTTTTTTAAACATACCCGGTGTAATGTTTTAAAAATACTCTGATCAAAATATACTCCAATATTTAGTGATATTGACGTTTATGACTGACGTGCATATATTAAATATTATATTTTTTAGTGATATTAACGTTTATGACTGACATATAAATATTAAATATAATAAATTTAGGGATATTGGCATTTATAACTGACGTATGAATAATAAATATTATCTTTTCTATATCCTATGATATTTAAGGCAATTTTGCCTTATTCTCTTTAGATATTATTAGATTTAATATTAAGTGTTAAAAATTTATATATTTATTTAAGGTTTAATTCGAAAATCTATATAAAGTTAGAAACAATTTTCAGAATAATTTATTAAAATCCTTTATTTAATTTGTAAATATAAAGATCAAAAAAATTAATTAATAATATATGCGATATAAATAATATATGCGATATAAATAATATATGCGATATAAATAATATATGCGATATAAATATTAAATAAATTAATTATGCGATCAAAATGTTCGCTATGATTTATTAAATAAATATTTACATTAAATTTTTTAATATTACTTAATTTTTTAATAGTATGTATTAAAATATTTGTCTGGAGCATAGTTGCCATTGCAACTATCTCCAGCACCTCTGTACCATAAACGGCATTTTGAGCCATGCCCGTCCTCTCCAGGTACGCGTCAACGGGTTCTCCCAGAAACCCCTCCATCTGCTCTGCCACGTCTTTACTTTTCATAAAGCGCACACATTCCGATATCAGGAAGTGATAGTGGCATTCATCCTCGCAAATTTCTTTGCTTATACATCTATAGTAATGATTAACAATTTATTTATTTTAATTATCCATACCTGAAAAGACAATTACCATCGCCAATTATCCTTTCAGTGGAAAAATTTTCACTCATGATGCCATTTTTAAATTTGGGATATCTTTTCTTGATATCCCAATTATAGCGAAGTGAGTGGTATATTTTCCAATTCCTATTTGTAGGAATAAAAAGATTTTTAACATCTTTTTTAGAAACCACTGTCTCTAATATAATTTCATCATCTAAAAAATATGTATAAATCTACTAATTATGCAAATTTATACCGTTCCTATTGAGCTTGTCTACTTTGCCTTCTACAATCTTCAAGTTGGAAGGCGGGGCACCTATTAAATTAAAAAATTAATTTTATCAATTCTTAAAAATGTTACTAAAAGGTCGATTGTCATCCGGTGTAACGTTTTAAAAATACTCCATTTTTTTATATACTCCTTTACGCTTATTTGTGGAGTATTTTCAGATTATATTGTTCGATTATAATGTATTTACATATCAGAGTATATTTAGATCAATGTAATTTTTATAATGATAAATTTTTGAAAAAGTGTTCATGTCAATCAAGAAACATTATTTTTGAAAAATATTTTTGTCAATCAAGAAACATTATTTAGAACTACTGCAATTTAAAGATTTACATCCTAAAAGTAATATGCAAATTTTTTTCGTCTGCGGGAAAATGGCTGATGTTAAATCGCCACCTCCAAGAAATAATGATATCTATCACTCACAATTTCATTTTCAAGCATACTATATTCCTTAAATATTTACTTTGTGACTACATACATTTTTTATGACATGAAAAGCCTGACTTCTACTCTTTTGAATCAAAACTAGTAAATTCTTTCAAATGCATGGAAGATGTTTGGGAGAGTAATGAGACTCTTTTTTAATTGCTGAGGATTATACATAACCCATAATATATCTCTGTCAAGTTATTACTTTTATTCATTAATTTTTCTATTTTTTCTAGATTCAAAGAAATAAATTCTCTTCTTTATTTACTAATTTATCTCAATCAATTCATCATAACTTAATTCTTTCTTATCTTCTCCAATTCTTTACCTAAGCTTCTATAAAGTTTAGCAAGTACCATTATAAACCATTTATTTATCTTTTATTTCAATTATTTATTTCCTTTAACAATTTATTTTTTCTATATATTAATCTTATTAACTTAATTTAAACAAAATAATATAAATCAACATTTAATATAATTACAACTTCTTTCTTAAACAAAATTTAACTTTAATCCTCTCTTAAAACTCAATTTCATGGATATTTTCTTATTTATCATTTCTCTTGTCTGCTTTTTGCTTTTTCAATTTTCCAAGTATCGTCTGCTTATTTTTTCCCCATTTTTTTTCTATTTCAAAATTCAAATTTATCTTACAATTTACTTTAAAATTTATATTATGTCAATTTTCAAAAATCTAACAATCTACTCCTACAACATTCCTGGCCTACTTTCAAAAACAACTATACTTAGGAAACTCCTTGATCAATATGATATTAACATTATTTTAACAAAAGAATCTCTTATTACCAATAATATTTTAAAAAAAAAAGTTAAAACAAAACAAAAAAAATAAATAAATAAATTACAAAAACTAATTCTTCTTCCTCTTTACTCCTTAATCATCCCCCCCCCCTTTTTTCTAATACATATTCCTATCTTATCTTTTTTAATAAATAAACATTATTTACAATGTGGATCCTGGCTTATCCACGAGTGGTACCCGTCATCCCACTCAAATTAAACGGGACCCTGTCAGTAGGGTAAATTACTGTCAACTTTGTGGATCCTGGCTTATCCACGAGTGGTACCCGTCATCCCACTCAAATTAAACGGGACCCAGACAGTAGGGTAAATTTTCTGCCAAACGGTGAATGCAAATTCACTGCACTGGAGACGCCCTCTATGGGGTGGTGGAGTGCCCACTTAATTGTGGGATGTCTCCCCAGTGTATAATATGATATGATATGATAAAAGTAATATGTTTTATTTTATCATAAGCTCTATTTGCAACTTTAATGTCTATGTCAAATATTGAAATCAACTTTTGAAAGACTTTTTTCGTCTGCGGGAAAATGGCTGATGTTAAATCGCCACCTCCAAGAAATAATGATATCTATCAATTCTACAAATACTTCTATCACTCACAATTTCATTTTCAAGCACACTAAATTCCTTAAATATTTACTTTGCGACTACTTACATTTTTTATGACATGAAAAGCCTGACTTCTACTCTTCTGAATCAAAACTAGTAAATTCTTTCAAATGCATGGAAGATGGGGAGAGTAATGAGACTCTTTTTCAATTGCTGAGGATTATACATAATATATCTGTCAAGTTATTACTTTTATTCATTAATTTTTTTATTTTTTCTAGATTCAAAGTAATAAATTCTCTTCTCTATTTACTAATTTATCTCAATCATCATAACTTAATTCTTTCTTATCTTCTCCAATTCTTTACCTAAGCTACTATAAAGTTTAGCAAGTACCATTATAAATCATTTATTTATCTTTTATTTCAATTATTTATTTCCTTTAACAATTTATTTTTTCTATATATTAATCTTATTAACTTAATTTAAACAAAATAATATAAATCAACATTTAATAAACAAAATTTAACTTTAATCCTCTCTTAAAACTCAATTTCATGGATATTTTCTTATTTATCATTTCTCTTGTCTGCTTTTTGCTTTTTCAATTTTCCAAGTATCGTCTGCTTATTTTTTCCCCATTTTTTTTTCTATTTCAAAATTCAAATTTATCTTACAATTTACTTTAAAATTTATATTATGTCAATTTTCAAAAATCTAACAATCTACTCCTACAACATTCCTGGCCTACTTTCAAAAACAACTATACTTAGGAAACTCCTTGATCAATATGATTTTAACATTATTTTAACACAAGAATCTCTTATTACCAATAATATTTAAAAAAAAAAGAAGAGAAAACAAAACAAAATAAATAAATAAATTACAAAAACTAATTCTTCTTCCTCTTTACTCCTTAATCATCCCCCCCCCTTTTTTCTAATACATATTCCTATCTTATTTTTTTTAATAAATAAACATTATTTACAATGTGGATCCTGGCTTATCCACGAGTGGTACCCGTCATCCCACTCAAATTAAATGGGACCCTGACAGTAGGGTAAATTACTGTCAACTTTGTGGATCCTGGCTTATCCACGAGTGGTACCCGTCATCCCACTCAAATTAAACGGGACCCAGACAGTAGGGTAAATTTTCTGCCAAACGGTGAATGCAAATTCACTGCACTGGAGACGCCCTCTATGGGGTGGTGGAGTGCCCACTTAATTGTGGGATGTCTCCCCAGTGTATAATATGATATGATATGATAAAAGTAATATATTTTCATTAATCACATTTTTATTTTTAGATTCCTAACTTACAAGCAACCCATTATTTCATCATTAAAAGATACACAAGTGTTTTAAATAACTCTTAATTGCCAAACTACATTTATATTTATGTCGATGAGTATAACTACTGCAATGTAAAGATTTACATCATGAAAGTAATATATTTTCATTAATCACATTTTTATCATCATGAAAGTAATAAATTTTCATTAATCACATTTTTATTCACTATACACAAAAATAAAATTGTAAAACCTTTCACCATACCCATATTTTATATCTGAAATTAAGTCATATCAAATTCGGTATCTTTATTTTAAACTGTGTTCTATGTGATAGCGAAATTCTTAGGGATAATAATTTTGTGACATGTCCTAGTTTTATTGTAATTTTTATAATATGAAAACATTTTTTTATCTAAAATGTCAATCAAGAAGATTGGAATTATAGATTGAAAAAATATTTTATCATTATTAATTTTTTCCATGAAATTTTCTTAAAAAATATTTTTTTATGAAAGTTTGAATTTTAAAGACTCCAAATATTATTAAGATTTGTTCATTAAGACTTTTTATTAAAGATTTAAAATATTATTAAGATCTTTTTATCAAGTTTTTTTTATTCTATATATATTGTTTTATAATTAGGTAATTTAACATTACATTATGCAATTATAACCATATTAACCAAATTGAAATATTCACAAGAAGTTAAATAATATATACTTAATTTCTTTTTCTCTTTTAGGTTATTTTGCAATTGATATGAAAACATTAATCTAAATATCGATAGTAGATTTTAAGCTTAAAATCAGCCACCTCCCACCCTTAAAATAATTAAATTATTTTGTAATTCTCGGGTATAGGCTTTTGTTTTGTCCAACTTCTTTTGTTATTAGCCTGTAGACGTTTAAATAACAGTTTTCGAACTGTTGTGCATACAAGTACGTGCGGCTTGCCCACAAACGTGTGAAGGGCTCCTCATTTTCTTCACCCAAATTAATTATCCAGTTTGATGGTTTTTTTTTGAGGAAAAAGCTCTGTTGTATCCGCAATATATCACGTATCACATAATTTATTATTTATTTCTATATTTTTAAGAAAATTTATTATTTATTTCTATATTTAAGATAATTTTTAGTTGTATTTCCTGTATTTGCAAATGACATTAGATTTAGAAACAAGTATTTATTTCTTATTTTTAATTATATTATTTATTTCTTATTTTTAAATATATTATTTATTTCTTATTTTTAAATATATTATTTATATCTTTAAATTTTTTTTTATTTCATATTTTTAAATATAAAAGATTTTGAAGAAATAAAAAACTTCATTTTACACAAGAAGTATCCGCTATATTTAGCTGGCAACCATGGAGAAAAAAAGAAATTTCCGTGTCAAAGCCGCTAGATATAAAATGCTCAATGGTAAATTATTTCATCATTCCCACAATGGTGAAGTAATTATCGACTCTATAAAAAGAAAGGACTTATATGATGTTAGCCAGCTTCTATAAATATAAAATAAACATTATATATCGAAACAATTAAGATAATATTACCGAGTGGTATTCTTGATGCGTAAAAATCTATGTAATTTTGTCAGTAAATCACTGACATGTTTTGAGCACTTCATATCTTTTAACACCATTAAAATATACGTAAATTTCGTCTAATATTCCCAAGACATTTCGCAGCTCTTTTACTGATTGGCATAATTGAACAACTATTAAATTTAATCGAAGACAATAGCACCAAATAAAAGCTGCCTTTGGCGCCTCCGCTCTAATCAAAGCCTGCACTCCATTAATTCTTCCACTCATGTTTGAGGCGCCATCATAGCTTTGCCCCACTAGGAATTCGAGGGGTAGATTCATGGAGCCAAGCTTGGATATTATATTCTTTTTAATATCGAGGCCCATTGTATTTCCCGTACAATAAATGTCTATCAGCCTTTTAACGGGCTTAGGTGTCTCGCTATTTTCAACATATCTCACTATCAAAGCTATTGCTTCTGATTTCGATACATCATATGTGCCATCAACTATAATTGAATAGCACCTGTTGAATTCAATCTCCTTTTGAATTTTTTTTATAACCATATTTTTCATGGTTTCAATAAGAATATTTATGTTATTATATGATAACAGATTTGAATATAATTTAGATTTTAATCCCTTAATTTTTTTCTCACTTCTTCTTTCTTCATTTTCTTGTATATACATTTTAAGAACAGGCTTAGAATCTGCAATAAGTTTAATAAGGCTCATCATATTGCCATCTTGTTGCTTGTTCCCCCAGAAGGCTTGATTGCGAGATATTAAATATCCTAGGCATCTTATTATTATTCTAACGATATAACGGTTATTATCGACACATTCCTTTTGGGGTATTATAAATTGTAATATGGAATTTTTATTGTGAGAAAGCCTTCCATAATCGGCCATCATATGTGCCTGTGAAGATTCATGCACAATAATATCACGATTAATATTTTGCCATATATTAAGACCTTCACATGTCCATTTTGAATTTGAGTGTGGACCTCCAAATAATAGACATGTTAAGCAAAAAACTTTATTCATTTTAATACTATATGTAATCCAATTTCTAGCAACTTTGCTCTTGTCAATATTAGTTTTCTCATAAAAACTTTCATTAAAGGATCTGTTTCTATTATTAATATCTTTGGGGAATAAATAATGTTTAGGTTGGAGAGCTCCTAATTCTAGATATTTATCAATTATAAATTTTTAAATTCTTTTTCCAACAATATTGATGGGATCATTTGATTCCTAAGAAAAGGGAGGGGGAGGGAAGATAAAATAAACATAATATATTTCACATTAAATCGGGGTTTAACTTCTTTTGCTGATCTTGATAACTCATTATTCTCCATTATTATCAATCCCACAACACCAGATCCAGATGGCATCTCTTCTTGATGTTGATCCTCTTCTGTAACTGTAGTAGTGTCCATAATATTTATCTTTGACATGATAATAATTATAAATTTATATTTATTTAAATATTATATTACTTGTTTTTCTTGAACTTTTTCTTTAGCTGAAAAAGAGTGTGTAGACATTGACATTGAAGTATCTTTTAAAATAATATCTTTTGCCTATTAATTTTAAAACAAATATAATCTAATAATAAATATTTTTTTAATGTTGTACTTGAAAATAATTCTTTATGGTATTACTTTTGTGTTTTAATAAAAATTTTGGTTGTGGTTCTTCACCTTGTTCTTGTTCCATAGCCATACTCAAATTAATCTTAATGGGTGTAAGTTCTTTTTCTTCCTGTTGTATTCATTAAAATTTAAAGATAAATTAATATTTATTACCAGTAGAGAGATAATAGGTATTACTTGTTCTTCATCATTGTCAAATCTCTGCTCTATGTCTGCCTATAAAAAATATTAGAGTAGATAAAAAATAAGAATAATAAAATAACTTCTGGTTCACCAATTTTATGATCATTATCAGAGTCAGATATAATATTTTCTTCTAACATATTTTCATTATTAGTACACTTTAAAAAAAATAATCATATTAATAAAAATATTTATTATACCAACAGCATTGATTTGCCAATTTTTACTTCTTTTTTCTTAAATTGTGTTTTAATACCCTTTATAAATAAGTATAAACAATTAAATATTTAATAAAAAAAATTACTTTGCTATTTGTCCAATTTTGAGAAATATTCTTAAAAGCCACTATTTCAAAGCTTTTCTTTATTTCGTGAAAATTAAGCCCACCATGTCTTTTTCTAATATGATCTGTCCATTTATCATCTCTTATATTATGATATGTACAATTTTTAATCAAGCATTTATATTTTTTTTGGTTAATATTTTTGGGCATATTTTGACTGATCTAAAAATGATAAATGATTATATATAAGATTTAATATTTAAATTTTTACTATTCCCTTTGATAAAATTTTAATTTTGCGCCAAATCTTGAAAGTGGAAAAATAATTTTATGATAAAAAATATCGGATAACAAACTAATTTGCTAAACATCGACCATAAAAATTTTTAAAAAAAAATAAATTTTAAAATAAAAAATTTAAAAAAAAAGAAGTACCCCCATAGAAATTTATAGAAGCAGTTGCTTCGGACCCCCCCCCCCCGTTGCCCGTTGTAGGGGTCACTGGACACTATTATATATATGGCACTTGTTTTATAATTTGTTATTTTCGCATATTGTATCATTTAAATTTTAAGTTAGTTTATTATACCTGCCATCCCTATAGAATTTTTTTTTTCAGTATATCTACAACCATATAAAGTGGTAAGTAAATTTATTAAATTATCCTTTGAATCTTTTTACATTATAATTTATAATGACATTTTTTTAGCTTATCCTATATTATTTTTCTCACTTAGCCTTAATCCCAATTTTTAACCATACTAAAGTTCATTAACAAGCTTAACTTCTTTCCTAGTAGAATATATATAACATTAATCTTTTATTTTATAAAAGGTATGGTCACAAATAGGAGTTGATTTGTGTACTTTGCCAGAAAGTGAGGATGGCTATAAATATATTGCAGTAGCTGTTGATTACTTCAGTAAATATGTTGTAGCCATGCCTTTAAAGGATAAAACAGCTAAATCAATATCGAAATTCCTTTATTCGTTACTATGCACATATGGCAGGGCAAAAGTATGATTTATTTGATAATAAAATATTAATTTTAGTTTTAAGATTCAAATTAATGATCAAGGACGGGAGTTTGTGAATGAAGTTAGCACTAATTTTCACAAACTCGTGGGGACCATGCAGAGGGTGACAAGTGCTTATCACCCTCAAGCAAATGGCATGGTTGAAAGGGTTAATAGAACAATCCAGAATGCACTTCTAAAGTGTATTGAAAATGATCAATTAGTTTGGACAGATGCCTTGCCTGGCATATTATTTGCCTATAACACATCTTGCCATGATTCATCGAAATTCACGCCTTTTGAGCTGATGTATGGTAGAAAAGCAATACAAGCTTATGAAGTATACCAATTATAAATTATATACTATATATTATATCCCTATTTAAAGAATGATGAGGAAAATGATATAGATCCTGACAATGTTGAGGAGATAGATAGGGAAAACCATTTTCAAAGTATTGTTTGCAAGATGCAGGACACACATAATATTGCCATGGGCAATATTAATCTTGCCCAGCTTGAAGCAGCAGAGGGATTATAGAACCCGCCATACTGGGAAAAATGCTCCCTATAAAATAAATGATAAGGTGCTTATCTGGAACAGCCGTAGAGCTGATAGGAAGGGTGGAAAAATGACACGGCCTTGGCTGGGTCCTTTTACAATAGTTGGGATTGACAAAAGTATAAATTATGATTTTTAACAACAAAATATTTATAATATTTAGGCAATGTAGAGCTAATAAGTGCTAGTGGGAAACAGGTAAAAACCCGACCAAATATTTGTAACATAAAACATTATGTTACAAGAAAAGCTATAGTTTTAAAAAAAATTAATTTTATATTTATATATTTATCAAGATGACACAATTAAAGCAGGACAGAAAAAATGTTAAAACTTTTAAAAATTTATTTAATAACTTTAAACAGTTCCCAGGTCAAGTGAAAAGTTTCATTTTAGTACCATAAAAGGTATACAATGGATTTTATTATTAAATAATATTCCTTTTTTTAGATAATGTTGAAAATTTTCAGGAACCAGCTATTAAAAATCTAAATCTTAATGCGGAAGAAAATCATATGAAGGGTAATATTTTCATATATTTAATATTAAATCTTTTTTGAAAATATCTAGTTATGAATATACTAAATTCGATAGTTGGAGAGGATTATAATTGTATAAACAAAAAAGGTATAATAAAAAATATTTAATATACATATTTTTTTAGATGATGGAGTTAAGACACCAGGAGAAGCATCGAAAATGCTAGAGCCGGTGCAACGTTCTAAATGAATTCCTGTTTTAAATACGTGACACGTGATATTGAACGTTTTTGTAATAGAAACAATTAGCCTCAAAGGCAATTAAATATATGATGAATTTAAAAAATATATATTATTAATTGTGTACGACGATTAATTGTTTGTTTTGTAAAATATATATACTGCCGTACAGAAGGTAAAAAGATGTTAAATTTATAATAAAAATTGGTTTCATCACAATGGCGCAGTCGTTTCAAATGGAGAAATATAATATAAAGGAGTGCAATATGGAAGTTTATTTATCAAAAATGGAATTCATATTTAAAATCGCAAAAATAGAAGACAAAAAATCATTTTTATTAGCGAATATTGGATTAGAGGTTTATTCTAAATTATTTAATTTGTGTTTGCCAAAGACATTAGAGTAAATATCATATGACATAATTAAACTTTTAA